CAATTTTTATTTGATATTACTTTAGGTGTCTATTTTGAAAAGGCAAAGTAAAAACTCAATCAGTGCTTTCATGGACAATCTAAGGCACTGTTGAAAGACAGATTCACAACTTTTTTGTAATCAAAGTTCAACATCAAGGAGATTTAACAAGAAAAAATAGTGCAGTGGGTTAAAAGATTTGGCTGCTATTGTATTGAAAGCAGCTCTTACCAGCTTGACAACATATAATTCTGGTGTAATATTGAAGGTGTGTTGCCAGTTAAGAGGAAGAGATTCAGATCTGAGCTAATATAAGAATTTAAGATTCTTGCTCGACCATATTAAATGTTGTATTCCATTACATGGTCCACAGCAACTCGTACTCTTGCTTCCGAACTCAAATTCTATTTAGCTACCATGGTTCCTGAGGGGGCCATGATGGAGTCATATTCTTGAAATTGATCTTATTTCCCTTGAAAGCAATTGTCGTATCTTCGAGCAACAAATGCTTCAAGTTAATTACATTATGCAGGGATTAATATTCATTATCCTTAGCCTACTGGCTATCAATGTTATCTTTTACAATTGCCGGAATGAGCATACATCCAGTTGAGCATTCTGTTATGTGTAAATTAATGTATGAAAGTAAAGATTAGCAGTGCAAAGTAAACACAGTTGCTGGCATCCTGTTAATGGCATAAAGTTAGGCTATATATGCAAGGTGAATTATTTGCAGTTTGCATAACTTTCATACTTCCATGTACACCATTTCATATTTCTACACATTCTCATTTAATTTGTAGTGTTGTTGGCACCCTCTACAAATGTGACAAAGTCAGTGTTCACCTGATTCCACGTTAAGGAATAGGCATCAGCCAACATACATGGTTTGAAGAACACCACTGAATATTTTCTTCCATTTTGACAATTATGTATTCCAAACCTCTGCATCATATCTTTAACCAGTAACCAATCGGAAATAACCTATACCTCACCTCATATGCAATCTTCCACTCCATTAATTCAGTAATATGAGATTACATTAGGCCCCTGTCATATGGGAGGGGTCAGTTCCGGGCCCTTCACATAATACAATTTTAGTATATAACCAGAATATTATTTTAACTGAAAGGAAAAATGTATTGAGCAAAGAGCCATAGCAAACCATGTAATCCGAGTATGAGCAAACCAAAGGGTGGGGGTCGGGTGTGGCCCCCTGGGTGCTTACCTCAGGCCCTCCTCATTTTCCCTGTCTTCTCAGCATAAGGACACAGTGGCCTGACACATCCTTATGCAGAAAGGATGGGGGAGGCGTTGTGTACTTCTTTTCTCCTTCTTCTGAGGTACAACAGGAGGCTGAATGTATGAGTTGGGGATTTGGGGCCAAGTGTTGAGGAAGAAGAGGGTGAGGAAAACATACTGCCGGTTCCTACGTTTCAGGAACGCCAAAGGATAAAATAAGAAAGGAGAAGATCAGCTAGAATTGCTGCAAGGATGCTGAGCAATCAAACCTCACCCTAGGAACACCTCTGCTGGGAGCTGGGGGCTGTAAAGCAGCAGTAAAGCAAGTGATCAATGCTGGCAGCAACACTTCTACTTAGTGCAGTGGTTCTCAACCTGTGGGTCCCCAGGTGTTTTGGCCTACAACTGTTTAATTCAGTGGTTCTCAACCTTCCTAATGCTGCATCCCTTAATACAGTTTCCCATGTTGTGGTAACCCCCAACCATAACATTATTTTCATTGCTACTTTAAAACTGTAATTTTGCTACTGTTATGAATTGTAATTTAAATACCTGATATGCAGGATATATTTTCATTCACTGGACCAAATTTGGCACAAATACCCGATACGCCCAAAACTGAATACTGGTGGTTGGGAGGATTGGTTTTGTCATTTCGGAGTTGTAGTTGCTGAGATTTATAGTTAACCTACAATCAAAGAGCATTCTGAACTTCATCAACCATGGGGTTGAACCAAACTTGGCACACAGAACTTCCCATGACCAAGAGAAAATACTGTGTTTGATGGGCACTGACCTTGAGTTTTGAAGTTGTAGTTCACCTACATCCAGAGAGCACTGTGGACTCAAACAATAATGGATCTGGACCAAACTTGGCACGAATACTTAATGTGCACAAATGTGAACACTGGTGGAATTTGGGGGAAATAGGTCTTGACATTTGGGAGTTGTAGAATTGGGTCAAACTTCCTACACAAAATACTGTTTTCTGATGGTCTTTGGCAACCCCTCTGACAGTCCCTTGTGACCCTCCCAGGGGTTCCAAACCCCAAGTTGAGAAACGCTGACCTAAGGAAAGGAAGGACTTGAGAAGTAAATCATCAACATCCATTCAAATGAATGAAGTATTAGCTTCAAGGAAAGACATTAAGAATTAGAATCTGAGCTTTATCAGAGAGACTACTGGGATCTCGGGAGTCACAATCTGCACTCTACTGGGCATAAGTAGTTGGTGCCTTCAGCATTATCTCTCAGGCACTAGCATTAGGTTCTTAGGAACAGGTGGATAAAAAAAACCTTTAATTTTAAATTGCTTTCTCTTGAATGACTAATTTCTTGTTTGACTATAATGTTTAAAACAAACTGTCATCAAAACACACTGAGCCTATATTTACTTTGTAAAAGCAAATCCCTCTCACACACATAATCTATATCAAACATGAAAAAGCAGTATCCTTATTTGCTTCCGTCTATGAATAAAAAATGAACATAATTAATAGGCAAGTGGATCATCTTATTTGGAGAAGTTTTGAGGAATATACAATTGAGATAAACTTTGAGAGGTTTTTTTTTAAAAAAATGCAATGTTGAATTTATTTAAAACAAGCAGATAAGAATGGAAAGTCAGTAGACGGTCTCAGCGAAAACCCTGAGAGCTCATGGTGTATCTACTGAATCAATGGCATTTAGGCAGACTTACTGAATTCCCATTGATTCGGTATGTCTATGCTAAATATAACAATTCAATTTAGGTCTTAGTGTTGTGCTGTATGGGCCGTTTATTCCTTACCATTCCTAAGAAAGCATTCACAATTCAACACAGGTCATGAATAAATTATATAACATTTGCTAAATTAATGAAAAGATCATTATCTTAAGAAATTAAACTATATCTTCCTAGAAGTTGTAAACTGCCCTAATGGGTTGAAAATGTTTTTTTTTTTATTGATTAACTTTGCACCGTTGTCCAAGAACTATATGAAGCATATGGGGAAGCTTTATTTTAAAACAATGGTTTGTTTTCTCTTGGTGATTTAAATCAATCCATCCTGCTGCCAAACTTTAAAAGCATTACAATGTCAAGGGCAGAGTACTCAATAGCCATTACAGCACAAAAGGAATAATATGACATCAGGCATGCAACAAATTACTTTCTGGGCTGTTGTAAGTTTTTCGGGTTGTATGGACATGTTTCAGAAGCATTCTCTCCTGAAGTTTCTCTTGCATCGATGGCAGGCATCCTCAGAAGTTGTGAGGACTTCTCTGAGGATTTCTGCCATAGATGCAGACAAAATGTCAGGAGAGAATGCTCCTGGAACATGGCCATTCAGCCTGAAAAACTTACAATCTAGTGATTCCGGCCATGAACGCCTTCGACAATACGAACTACTTTCTATTGTCCAGCTTGCTTTGCACAACTTGCTAGCGCAACAAACGACAGTCAGCAGAAGCATGAGTGAAAACAAGTTGCCTGAAATGCAGTATCATAAGCCATTGTTGATTTCAAAGTTTATGACTACATTCAAATTAAAGGAAACTAAATTCTCCCAATTATTAACTGCTTATTATTAGATTTATTAGTGAAATGTGTCCCAATTGTTTTATTTGTATATCTAAATTTCTTACTTGTTATTCTTGAGTTGTTTTATAAATGTACCTTGATGCTATTTGACTGTTCATGATTTGACATGTTTCGTTATGTTTTTGGTGGCACTAAATGTTTGCCAATTTTTGTTGTAAACCACCCCAAGTTCCCTTGGGGAGATATGGCGAGATACATTTTTTTTTTGTATTATTATAATTAAAAATAATTCCATCACATTTGCCCAACTACCCATTTCCCTAGCATTGCAGTACTTCTGAGGGCAACATTTATATTTTTGGAATCACTAAATGATATGTTTTTCTCTAAAATTATATTTTTCCTGGAATTTCCTAGTCATTCCCGATTTTCCAATCATTGGAATGCCAAGTTTTTTTATTCTTAATGTGTTTTTATGACATTTTAACTTACCTTCTGTTGAAAAATTACCAAAACATTCTTTCAAATTTATCAGGGGATAAAATAGAATCTCCTTAGGGAGAGGAAAAGCAGGGTATAAATAAACATAATAACAATATATGGATATTTTATTATAAAGTAGAAACTGCTTCCTCTGGAACCCCATTTTATTAGCACCTGGATCCCCTTGGCCAGTGGTTCTCAACCTGGGGTCCCCAGATGTTTTTGGCCTTCAACTCCCAGAAATCCTAACAGCTGGTAAACTGGCTGGGATTTCTGGGAGTTGTAGGCCAAAACACCTGGGGACCCATAGGTTGAGAACCACTGCCCTTGGCGATAAATAGCTGGTTTAAACAAGGACCATATGTTTGAGGAGCCATGGTTCTCTCTTAAACCATAGTTTATGCCCGCATCATTGGCAAGTAGAAATTTTAAAAACTAACAAGCATATGTCCAGCTGCTTTTGGTTTCATGAGTAAGGGGTAGTGCATGGAACAGTTGGTCTTGAGGGGTTACTTGGTCCCAGGCTCAACAAAGATGCCTATCTGTGCTAAACACGCCCCCATCAACAATCAAGACTGGTCTGGTATCATTATTCAACAGAAAGTAATTTACTATCTTTTTCAACTGAGTTTTAACACTCAAGTATTGAAAGTTGCAGTCAAACTTTACAAACTTTTTATAAACTTGTACTATCAATCCCCTAGCATCCAATGGCTTACACCCCATTACAGTACATTAAGTAATTTTTATAAATAACTCCATTTACAAGTAAGAGTGGAAAAAATCATAAGCTTTTATTGGTTTGGTCAAGATGACATCCGATTCTATCAGCTTTCATGGAAGTAGGCATGACGAAGAAAATGCAAATGATTTAATTCCATCGGTGAATACAAGAACTCTTATGCAACCAGAGCAGATGCTGTGGATGATTCACTAAAGGGGAAAAAATGAGACAGTGTTAATAATACATTTCGGTATTTAATGTCCCCAGCAGGAGGTCACTCAAACATCCAAGGAAGGACTGGCCAACACTAAAGAAAACTGCAAATGTTTGGAATACCATCATCACAGTGACTCTCTGTGGGAGATTTTATCCACCAAAGAACTGACCCAGATAAGGTCTTAAAAGGAATAATGATCTTCCAATATAAATACATTCTTGTGCCTTATGGTCTTTATACCCACTCTGTTCCTCTAAATCAGTGGTTCCCAAACTTTGGTTCTCCAGGTGTTTTTGACTTCAACTCCCAGAAATCCAAAGCATTTTATCAGGTGTTAGGAATTGTGGGAGTCAAAGTCCAAAACATCTCCATAACCAAAGGGTGAGAACCACTGCTTTAAATAGATGTTGTATGTCACTGCCATTTTAAGTGGAAGAGGTAAAAGATGCTTTTGCATTCACATCTTGTTTGTGAGTTTCCAAACAAATGACTTTGCCACTCTGAGAACAGAATGCTGTCCCAGAGAATCTCTGTCTCCACCCATCCCCAATGTTTCTTGATGTCTTAGTTTTAAGCCTATTCCTGTGGTTGTTTAGGCCAGTGATTCAGAAAACTGCATTGGAGAGACAAGCATCAGCTCCTCAGATATGGCTATCATAGTTTTCTATGGGTGAACAGGTGGCAACTGGTAGATGGCCTATGTTCTGTATCTCAAAAACTAGAGCGGATAGGGGGAAATTGGAGCTATTTTTGAATCAGCTCCTCAAATATACCCAGAAACAGGTTTAACATTTGTAGGCACCAAAATATTTTGGCCAGTGTAATAGTTCTTGCTCTAGTATACAACAATCAATTGCTAAACAATTATGTAAAGTTAGTATAGTGCAGAATAATTTTTCCTTGCACAAATATGATCCTTTTCCATTACAGTCTGGAAAACAAGTTCTTTCTATCTGAAGCAAAAAAAAATATCTACAGTAACTTATACTTACTACTTCCAATTAGGAGGAAGTACTCTCTTGGTCTTGTAATAGCGAGCCAGCCTGTGGATTCTGCTCTCAATCAAAATGAGGCGAAACTTGGCATCTTTATCCTTATAACAGGGGAAAAAAGAACAAATCCTGGTTTTGATGAAAAGTCATAAAAATATGGTTTATCTGGAGCATGGCATTTGTGAGAATTTATCAGTTTAGAAGGTAAATGACAGTCTCATTCTAAAACATTATAATAATTCTCAAGTCTTTTCAATAAGATCATGGATCCCTATTTCTATAAAGAGGAAACCATGGTAAATTTGGAACTAGTTTCATTATATTGGGAACAGTTTGCATCCTATGCAGTGCATATAACTGCTTAGATATACTAATGATCACTTGTTTTATGATTGGAAAGTAAAATACACTTCATTCTCCTTTAATCTGCCCCTTTTAAAATAATATTTCTCAAAATATGTTATCAACCTGAAGACTGAAAATTATCATCTATTTACCTTCCGATTTCTCTCAAGATGCTTACGGACAGCCACAGCCTTCTTGATTAAGTGGTAAAGATCCTCTGGAAGATCAGGAGCAAGTCCCTTGGATTTAAGAATCCGAAGAATCTTGTTGCCAGTCACAAAGCGAACCTGGGCAACACCATGGGAGTCTCTCAGTATTACACCTAAAACAGAAAAGGGAAATTGTGCATTAGAAATGCCAGACAACTCAGTCATAGTATTTAAGGTGTTCACTCAGACATCTAAGGAAGGATTAGCCAACACAAAGGAAAACCTTTCTGGTGGAAACTACGAATGGTTACCAACAATCATCATCGTGAGCAACCTGAGCAAGACAGTGATTCTGTTGTTTTAGAAATACAATTAGTTTGTCAAGTATAGCCATTTAATGAATTGGGCTAAAGTTATCACTTGCATTACAATTCTAACAGTACTAAGAGACACTAAGGACTGCCAAAGATGCCACTGACTTATTTGATAAATAGTCTTTCTATATAATGTATTTAAATAGAAATGTAACCGTCAGCAATTCAGTTACCTGTTAACTAAAATCTAAGGCTCTAATCTTACACATTACAGGAGTTTAACAAGACTGCTGTGCTTAATTCTTGAAAGACTTGCAGTTATACAAATAAATCATTAAGCACTGTTATTAGCAGTTCAAAAACATGTAATGTGAGTAGAAGAAAGTAAAAGGCGCCCATGCAGCTATGCCAGCAAAACACAACCAGGTTAGTCTATGGACATCAGGCTCATTGGCATGGAAAAATGGAACAAGAGCACCTTCCCATGGCCAGAGTTGAGTATTACCTCCAGACTCTAGAGATGGAAAAGGGAAACCTTTGCCTTTGTTTGTGTATTGCATGTCATTGTTCATGGTATAAAAGACACTATATGTGTATAGTGCAATCCAATCTGAGTCCCCTCGGGGAGATAGAGTGGAATATAAATAAAGCGATTATTATTATTACTATTCACTTCCAAGCAATACAATCGTACTGTATGTTCTACTGATCTACTATATTTGGATAAATTTAGAAGCATCAAGCTAAATTAGGATTTTAATTGTACATACCGATTTGTGAGGGAGTCAGACCCTTCTTTGCCAACTTGTAGATCTGTTCTTTAACATCATCAGAAGTAAGTTTCAACCACTGCAAGAGATCAGTTTTGAGCCAGATTAGTTCACACAGTCCAACAGGCAAACACACAAACTACTGACCCATACAAGTGCCATTTAAGCCAAATAATCAGTTGAGTTAACACTGGACACAGAGCAGCTCCTGTTAAATAGGGCATATGAAGTGTTGTGTGTTCCTTTTAGCTGAACCTGTATTTATTTACCTAGTTTATATCCCATTTTCTCTGAACACACACACATACATTAACACACTGGATGTTTCTATAAGTAGCAAAACTTTTTTGTCTGCTGGTTCTTTTCTATTTGCAAATGCAAGCAACCTAAGAAAGGTGCCAACATGCCAAGTCTTAGTATGTCAAACAGTTAAGAAAGTTGGACCCCAAACACAGGTTAATGTAGTTTGCTATAATACAAGCTTGGATACCAATAATAAACCTAATACAGTAGACTATCAGTTAACTGGTATCCACGGGGAGTGGTAGATGCCAGATAAATGTACTTTCTTGTTGCTTGAGAGTTACTATTAAAGATAGGTGTAATACTGTAATCATATTATACTATAAACTTTGCACTGACTTCATACGAATATTGAAATACAGTGATTAAAAGCAAATAAAGACAAACGTAACTTAATGCAACAATTTTACTGCTTTATTGTATTATAAAAACAGCTTTTTATTTAAAGTAGTCTTTCTTTGAATTTTCTGGCTGGTGTGTAAGTTCAAGTTAACTGAAAGTCTATTGTAAAAATATATTTTTTACTATTGTAAAAAGATCAAATACAGGATGTTACTGAACAGCTTAAATTTATATACTTTTATTCATAATTAATCCACGTTAGCATTGTTCATGCACCAGTAGGTTGTCCCCATATGCAAGTCTCACTCACACAACACAATTTTGGCACTATGATTCCACTTTAACAGCCATGGTTCCATCCCATAGAATCCTGCAATTCAGAGTTTATAGAGAAGCACTTAATTCTCTTTCAGAGAGCTCCTCTAGTGCCTCATCAGATTAATAATACCAGATACAGCAATTAATGTAGAATCACAGTTTTAAATTTTAGATGTATTTTGTATCAATTAATATTGTGTAAAGTTAAGTCAAATATATTTGTGAAGGGACCCATTCACTCAGTCCCCTCTATTAACATAAATAGGACTGCTGATCTGCAGTGTGAATGGCCCCTAAACCAAACTGGGATTATAAACTGAACACATTACTTACTGTGGGCACACTTCGCCTGTAAGGTAAAGCCGACTGGGACAGGCCCTTCCTGTTTTAAAAAAAATCCCCAAAAGTCAATTATTTCAAAGATTTATAACAAACATGCTATTGTCGAAGTCTTACATGGCTGGAATCCTTCTAACGCTAAAGACCGCTGAGGACGCCTGCCATGCCAGTCGTGAATGCTCTTGGAACATGGCCATACAGCTCAAAACACTCACAGCAACCAAAACATGCTATTCATTATGTGATACCTAATACACATCTCCTTCAAAACCGGCATCATTGTGATGACAAAGCAATGGCAATTCAAGCAGAGTTTTGGTTAGCATTTTAGCTGAGTTGTTGCAAGAACAAATTTTACTTTGGTAAATGTCTATTTTTGCTTTTGTGATACAAACAAAAAACTCTGGGAATCACGAAAAAGAAGGAAGTGCCACCCCGAGAAGCAGCTTGGTTGGACTTTGTAGGATTTCCAAGGACATTTCACACCTTCCAAATTCTTGTTCCCATGCCCCTACTGTCTTTTCCTCTTTTCATCCTGGACATAGTGCTTTTGATCAGATGCTTATCCAAACAGTTCAGGAGAGTAAATGTCCTGGTTACAACCATTCAATATATCATCCGGGCCTTTTGAAGCCTCAATTTGGCCCAATCAATCAAAATCAACTACATCAAAATGCTATTTCCAACCCCTACGTCTAAAGCATTCCCAGACTCTCCAATTGATCCTTTTTTGCACCTCTAAGGAAGTGAAGGCCTGTTTATTGCCTGCTTCTCTTCTTTCAACTGCCACTTGTGTTGCATGTTTTCAAAGATCTGTGTGTTTCTCATGGCTAAGACCTAGGCTGTTTATTTAATCAAACCCTCACAAATACACTTTTTAATTTCTATCCCACCCAGGGTTTTAACATTTTATCTTGTGCATTTGGCCCGCCCTTTGTGTTTGATTTTTATTATTTATTATTATTTATTTTGCACTGTTTATTTTATTCTGTTATTTTATGTATTTTGTTATGATGTAATTTTTCAGTTGTTTTGTGTCTAACTTTGCTGTGTTATTTTTTGGGGCTTGGCCTCATGTTAGCCACCCTGAGTCCTCTTTGGGGAGATGGTGGAGGGGCATAAATAAAGTTTATTATTATTATTACTTCTAATGTTATTTATTAATCAGATGAAATCAGGCCCCTTCTCCCCTTCGGTGATGAAATTGTAAGCATCATGCTTCTTTTTCATGTGGAAATTTAAGAAAAATATACCTATCAACAATTACAGCTAATAACCATATGAAAGAAAGAAAAATGGGAGCAGCTTGAAAACACTATAAATCAGTGGTTTTCAACGTGTGGGTCCCCAGGTATTTTGACCTTCAGCTCCCAGAAATCCTAACAGCTGATAAACTGGCTGGGATTTCTGGGAGTTGTAGGCTAAAACAACTGGGGACCCACAGGTTGAGAACCACTGCTCTAGATGACACTCATTTTATCCACAGGTCATATAAAAATACACAATTTTATTTATTTACACCATTTCTACCCCACCCTCCTTACCCCGAGGGGGGACTCAGGCAGGAATTCAATGCCACAATATCAATAACAATGTAAAGTCATAATACACAGCAGATTAAAAACAGTAACATTAAATATAATCACATAGCCGTTTCCAATTGTCGTAACAGTCCTGTGACCTAAAGTGCTGCTGTGCCCACTAGCCAAAGGCCTGGCTCCAAAATCTACCCTTGAGTTGTACACGATGACAACTTATCCTCAAATATCTATGGTATATACATTTTAGTAACTTAACATACAGATCTTGTATATTAAATGTTGTATGGTATCACACTTTAGGAGCAGCCAAAAATCCTTAATATATGAGGCCTGCGATTGGCAGAGAAGGATAAAGGCCTGGTAAAACTCCAAATCCCAGGATGCCACTGCATTAAGTCTACCATGTAGCTCAGGCATGGGCAAACTTGGGCCCTCCAGGTGTTTTGGACTCCAACTCCCACAATTCCTAACAGAATTGTGGAAGTTGGAGTCCAAAACACCTGGAGGGCCCAAGTTTGCCCATGCCTGGTGTAGTTGTACCCACAGCTCAGCCGAGGGGAAACGCGGCCTAGCGAGAGGGCCGCCTTCCCTTCTCTTCCCTTCGCGCTCGGCCCCCGCCCTCCAGGGCCTTCCCGGGGGTCAGAGGCCTCTCGCAGGGACCCCTAGGAGACCCCCTTCCTCCCCTCGGAGCCCTTCCTTCCCTCCTTCGCCCCCCCCCCCCCCCCCCCCCCCCTCCCCTTCCCGCCTGCCGGGGCCCTCACCCAGGAGCGTGCATGCGACCCATGATGGCGGCGGAAAGAAAGAGCTCCGCGAGGCGGCTGCGCAGATCAAGCCTTTCCTTCAGCGGAAGTGACGTCAACGCGCACGGGTGCCGGGTGTCTACTCCACCACTTCCGATTTCCGGTGAGGGGGTGAGGAATAAATCGGTCTCTCTGTTAGGCCTGAACCACAGAGAGGGCGGAGGAGTGGAAAGCTCGTTTCCTTGAGTTGTGTTGAATTTATGAGACTGGAGGGAGATTTTTTTAAGGAGCTACCTGGGCTACATAATACCCTACAGCAGGCACTTAAGCGGCTCAGGGGAAAAAGGAAGGTGCCTGAGGCAGTTAGGAATTGTGAAAGTTGAAGTCCAAAACACCTAGAGGGCCTAAGTTTGCCCATGCCTGTCTTACAACTATGATTTCCCAAACGCTAGGCCCACGTGTTTTGAGGACTTCAACTCCCAGAAGCCTCAGCTGCCGAGGCCAGTGGTCGGGGGTTCTGGGAGATGAAGTCCAAAAACCTGGAATGCCAGGGTTTGCAAGAACAGTGCTGAAAAATGCTATGGCTTGAGATCTCACCTGTTTTTCTCATCCTCTGGAGATAGGTGTGTGTTTTGCTTTTACTACAAATGACAGTATGTAACGCCAGGGAAGCCACCAGTTTGTAAAGAAGCATGTACATATGTGTGGTCCTCTGCCAACACTTTAATACCCGAGACGCTCTGTGTGTTGTAAAACAAAAACCTCTTGGCTTTGAATCACAGGCTTGAGGCTCTCGTATGCAACTATTTAACAATGTTTATTTATAACTTTAAGCTCCAACACTTGGGAATACATTTGTATCTTGTCATGTTCTTAAGGCTTACTTTCAATATCATTAACTTGGTTACTTTTCCTTTCAAACTCTTGACAGGATAATATTGTAACTTGATCTACACTCAATAACTTCTATCAAACAGAGATTCCCCACTGTCTCTCTCTCAGACAGGATTAACTTCTCTTCACACAGATTCCTAACTGCTTCACAAACAGCCATTCCTAACTCAATTCACAAGCAGCCATTCTTAACTGTCATTTCTTAAACTCTCCACACTAACTCCTCCTTTTTGAATTTAACTCCGCCCCTTTAGAACGTTCAGCTCTGCTCTACCCAACTGTTATTTTGTCTCCCAGCCTGTTGAAATCCTGGGCCTATGCTAATCTGCATATGACCAATCGGCCTCCATATGCAAATAAATCCTGTCCCTGCTGTTGCTATCCTCTCTGTCTCTATTCTTCCCTATCTGCCCCCTGCAAACAGAGCTATGCACTGATATTTCACAGAGTAACAAATTCGCTACACAGTAGTTCTTAAAACTGGGTTGTTGTAGGTTTTTTCGGGCTATATGGCCATGTTCTAGAGGCATTCTCTCCTGACGTTTCACCTGCATCTATGGCAAGCATCCTCAGAGGTAGTGAGGTCTGTTGGAACTAGGAAAGTGGGTTTATATATCTGTGGAAAGACCAGGGTGGGACAAAGGACTCTTGTCTGTTGGAGCTAGGTGTGAATGTTTCAACTGACCACCTTGATTAGCATTTGATGGCCTGGCAGTGCCTGGGGGAATCTTTTGTTGAGAGGTGATAAAAACTTCTGGGATGTGAAAGTGCAAAGTGACATCTAAGGGCATCAACGGACTTTGAAGGCCCTTCAAGACACCTTCCCAAAAGAGCCTTAAACATATTTTTTTCCAGGGCAGCTGTTCAATCAACCAGAGCCCAAATGTGTTGCAATTTTTTTTAAAAAAAAGAAGCGTTAAGTTTTGGTAATGCAGTAATAGGTTCCAAGAGAAGTCCAGAGTCCTAAAACATGGCAACACGAAAACCTTACTTTGATCTGAAGGGCTGCGTAACCATGGCATCCTATTTTAAGGTGGAATTGAATCAGAGTATACGATTACAACTGTGTTAAATTACACACACCCTGAAGGCAAGTTCGCAGCTGGGGAGTTCTGGATTCATTGCTGAGCCTGGAACCCCAGGTCTTGGTAGTGGCCAGGGGAGCATTCGTACAATTAAAAGTTGTGCGCCAGTTGCATCCATACCTTGGGAAGTCTGATTTGGCCACGGTAGTACACCCTCGTTCCATCTTGAAGATTTTTCAGAAACTTGAAGTCGTTCAATGGATGGCAGCCAGATTCCTTACTGGCATACAGGAAGCACACAACCCCCTGTTGTGCCAGCTCCACTGGCTGCCACGTCTGCTACAGAGCACAATTCAAAGTGCTAGCTTTAGCCTATAGTCCTAAACAGTCCTGGCTCAGTTTACCTGTCGGAACATATCTCCCTCTATGATCCACCTCAGAGGTTAAGGTCGTCGGAGGTCCTGCTCTCAGTCCCACCACTTTCATAGGTGCGATTGTTGGGGAAAAGAGACAGGGCCTTCTTAGTGGTGGCCCCTCGGCTCTGGAACTCCCCAGAAAAATTAGATCAGCCCCCTCTCCTGACCTTCAGGGGAAAAAAAAAATAAGATGTGGCTTTGGGACCAAGCGATTGACTAGTAATTGGAGAAGTGCATCTTGGAGCTGGCTTCAAACTGCATTAAATGGTCTGTGTAAATGAGGCTTCAGAATTATCCCTTGCACTCTGGATTTAAGGGGGGGGATTTGAATCTCATTCTGTATTTTTTGGGGGGAGGGGGAATCCCCAACATTTCCATTCCCCACTTTGTACAACCAGACATACATTTTGTGTCATACCTTTTGGAAGTTGGAAAAAAGACCCATCAAAATAAGTGAGTTGTTTTTTTCTAAAAAAAAATCCAAACACTAAAATGTTTAAAAACTGACATTGCAAGAAAGTTGGAAGGGTCAGCAAGTGGAACTGGATGCCGAGAAGCCATTCCCAGAACTGCTTTGAAACAAGACTGCTCAATACCATTAATGTCAGACACATTCCTTAGTATATCTGGTGTTGCTGTGAGAGAAACATTTCAATATATGGCATTATGGATATTTTATTTTGTTTGCCTTGTTTCTTTTTAACAAAATCTTTATTGCTACAGAAAGAAAAACCAGGGAACACGGATAGGTTGTTGCACCATAAAACAGAACAGTTTAACACAAATATTGGGTATGACTAGACTTGGCAACACTGGCATGTTCAAGGGATGAGGCGTATTCAGATTCCGATCAGTCAGGATGAGAGACAGAAAAGCACTTTTCTTCAAATCCTTATTCAATAGGTCTTGTCTTCCACTTCAAATGCCTTTTCAGATCCTCACTGATTGGTTTATGCTGTAGAAGAATCAACCCAGAACCCAGAGTAAAGGCTGCGTGTTCAAAATACTGACAGAAAAATCCAGAGAATGTATGTTTCACTAAATCAATGGACACATGCTTTATTTAAGGCATAAGCATCTTTTAAAAATTTCCTGGCACAAAACGGTGCATTTGAAGAACAAGAGCCAAGACATTTGTTATTTCAGAATAGTGTTTAATGTAACTGTAGGACAGTTATGGAGTCACGTTAAACCCATATATTATGGGTTAAGCTGTTGATAGAAATACTGTACATCTTTATTAGCTATCAGTGTAATTCAACTGAAATATTTGGTTCTTACAGATAAATTGACATTTAAAGGAAAATGTCTACATTTGCTCCCAATTCATTTTATTATCTATAAACTTTTGCTGCATTTTTAGTCACAGTATGAAAGTATAAAGCCAAAAAGGAAAAATAAATTCCTATGGATTGTGAGAATGGTACAATATTGCCTGATTTATTTTTCCTCCATACAGCATGCATTGGGTACAATTCAATACAGACCTACGCATATATTAATTCTGTATTAGACTGTGGCCACCACATTATGCAAATATCTGAATTAACTTTGAAAGCTGCATTTACAGTCAGTCTCCTAGAAAAGCACTCAGGCTTAAGGCAAGATGCTAAGATGTCTATACCATTGTAATTTTAAAAAGAGAAATATCAAAGATCATTCATGCTTTCATATATATATATCTGTGTATATCATAAAAAGGCAGTAATATTAAAAAATTCAGTGCAAAGTCATAGCCAAGTTATATAGTACAGAAAATGTGGAAGTGATTATTTTACAGCAACATGTATTCCTCAAAGTGACAAAATAAATGTACATAAGACACACATTTGTAGCTGCAGTCCATACAATACATAAGGTTTTATTTGATTAATAAAGTATAAAAATGCTATGAGACTACACTTTAAAAATGTTGTTTATTAAAGAGTCAAATTTTATCCCAAGTATTACCTCCTCCCCTTTTGTGTCTGTCAGCTTTAGTAATACAAAATGGTCCCCCCCCCCCACAAATGTGGACAATTATTTATTGTTTGAGTATCACACCACTGTAAATAATCTGAAAAGAGGCAAAGTTAATGTTTCTCTACTACAATTTTCATTTGTTACTAGTTAATTGAAGAACAGCTTTTAAAACATCTGTCTAGAAAGTGTTAAGTCAATGTGTACTTAATCTGAAAAGTGACGAAGTTGGATAAAAGGCACAGGCATCAGCTACAAAAGAAAATGCTACTGTAAGATACAGGGCATATTCCAACCAACATCCAGCCAAAAGCTGCAGCTGCAAACCACTGCTACAAGTCTTTTAAATCTGTCGTTTTGTGCTGTTCACATACTGTGCTTTAATAACAAACTGCAACAATGCAGTGCCTATTGCTTTGAGTTAATTTAATAGAACATTTCATAAAAGCAGTAGCTTACTTTCCTGTGTGTATGTGACTTATGATCCTTTTGGTGGACTGGAATGCATCTCAAAAGCATCAAGTGTGCAGGAAATACAATCTTTTAGTTAGTTTATTCTATTTTTTCTAAATAGGTCACTACTTACATGTTTATTGTAGCTAATAGAATTAGTCTGTTGCTCTAAAATGGCAAAAGGTTATAATGAGCAATAATGCGGTCTTAACACTGAGAAAACAATCCAAGGTATCTGCATACAGTTGGACCATGAAAGTTTCAGGCACCCCAAATGTTCTGTCCATTCCTCCCTTCTACTTGTTATACTAGGTTCAAAAGCAAGTACTTCACTATACTTTATAAAGGAAATAAATTAGATTGCATTTTAGTTTCATTGTGCAAGAAAGATTGTCATTGTCTTGTCATATCCAAAATGATCTTTGTATTACGTTAAGTATTTACTCTCATTTACCATTGCATTATTTTACTTTACGTTCATTGTTATAGGCAGTTGTATAAAGGTGACACACCGTGTCGTCTTTATACAAAAATGATAGGGCTTCAGTATGAAACGTTTTGTGCAATTTAAATGCCTTTCTAAATCTGCTAATTTTTATTGGAGTTACTAAATTGCATTTATGTGCAGGGTCCCAGAAATGTGTACAGATTCTTTCACTCATTCCTATAAGGGCGAGCCAATTGCCGCAGAAATGGGATAGGATACATAGTGGATTACTAAGAGTAGTCATAAGAGTGCTCAACACCTCTTAAGGCTAGCTCAAGTTGTCACTCTCAATTTCATCACCCAATATTTCAAGTGCAACTTAGACTCAACCAACAACAAATGCTCTGGCCTTCCACACTTTGAATCAGATGTTTCAGCTATATAGGGCTAATGGGTACCGTAATTTATATTGGACATGTGACCTGGGAACTGAACAAAAACCCCGGCAAAATATCAGTGATACCTAATTTCTAAAGAAGTATGTGCTTTGTAGTCAACCATGGCATAAAACCACTTGGGTTTGCAGCCATATAATATGTACAGTTAATGAAATTATTATTTAAGAGTGTACAAAAATGGTCAAAGCAAAACAAGTAACTGTCAGTTCATTTAAGTTTGTTCTCAGAAAATATAATACGTTGAAGGGAAAATGTTAAATAAAACGGAGAGTGCCACATTCTTTTTAAAAAGAGCTTGGTAAAAAAGCTTGTTAACAAAAAAGATAATTTTTTTAATTATCAGGTATGAGGTATAAGAAGCAGTTTAATGGCAAAATAAGGCACCATTATTTAGAACATTCATCATTGGCACTCATTCCGATTACAGCCTCAAAAAGGTTTAATGAATACGAGGGCTAATTTGATTGCTTATTCAAATCTCCCTTTTGACAGTTTGAGTCGTTTTTTAAACTTGGGATTTTTTCAAATGACAGCAGGAGTACAAAGCAATCAAAATGTGATCAAACTGAAACTAGAAAACCTCCTCAAGTTTTAATTTGGGACATCTAAGCATGGTTTAGAACTTCATTATCCACAGATATTACATTTGTACAATTCATTTACATCAATGCTTGAATATTATTACAGTAAAAAGCATAAGTGGAGATGGTTTGCCCAAAGTTGTGTTTAAAAATGTTGATGGCTGGTCCAACTGCAAAGTGCTGGACTGCAGTGGCTTATGCCAAAGTGTTTGTGTTATCTTCAAGTAGGAAACTGTGACCAAATACAAATGGAGCTGAGGTGCATCTGTTCTTTTCACCTCTATAAGTTATGAGGTTCACAAGTATGGTACTGCAGCAAGCCGATGCCAGTTGACGGTCTCCTTGTTCAAGTTAAAATCCTTTAAGGAAAGAATGACACCACCCAAAAAAAAGTTCTCACGCAGCGATTCTGCACTGAGTACACTCAGCTGAAGCTCCCTTTGCTTCAATGTCTCCTTGCTATAGCCACTGTACACAAGCTATGAACAAACGAGAAAGAGATTTGGTAAGAGGAGTTATACCCTTCCTTCCCATAGTATATTTCTGGGGTTGAGACACGGCCGCTCTTAATCCAAACACATTACAATTATATTCTAGAGCAAGGCCGAATCATGCCAATTATTTGTTCCTAACTTCAAACTTACATCTATCTATACAATACAGATTTATTCTGAAATATTCTCTATCATTTGATATTTCAACTCACCATTTCATTGAAAGTTGGGTTTCTCGTCTTCCGTGATATTTTTGTTTTTCTTTTAGATGTTTTATGTATATCTGGGAGCAGGTAAGTTTTCACATAGGGATTTGGGTCTGCCCCATCATCAGTAACCTGAGAATAAGAACAATGTTTTAAAAATCCCACAATCACCACTCGTGTTTAAACAGAGAAAGCATTGAGACATTGGAGGTCCTGTTTAAATTAAGAGTTCTCCAGTCTCTTGAAAATGACTCTTTGATAGAAAAAAAGAGCAATGACAGTGTGTTACAACTGTCACATGCAATTTCCAAATTCATTTGTTTACTTACCAGATCTTTAATGTGCATCACCATGATAAACAGAGTGCTGTTTCTATAGGAGATGGACAACTTAACTTCGCCTCCTACTTTGCCTGACACAGGACTTGCAGGGCTTACATCTGTGGGAAAACCCAAACAGGTATGATTACATTTTCTGTTATAGGGGCCAAGAAGGCTATTTTAAATTACACAAATCAACATGAAGTTACCACCAGAGAAAAATCTAGAAAACTGCAACAGGGACTGTGGCTCCTAAGAAAACAGAACACACTTGAGAAATAATGCCCAACTCAGCAGAAGGCCTATTTTGCTTCTCCTTTCAAACCTTTGACAATTTCAGACCACATTGTTTTTGGTGTCCCAATGTTGTAATTACTTAAATTACAAATTGGGCTAGAAAGACACTACCTTTTGAGTTGGCATGCTTTTTAGTGACATTATTAGAAGAAAGATTTCTCAAAGGCAGACGTGAACTGTTTGTTCAAATGGACCTTCATTATAATGAACATATGTTCTAGAATAACTATAGAAATACAATGCAACAAGCATGAAAATGGAAGAAAAAAATCAACGGAAGCAAGAAAATGCAAGTTCACACAATTGTATTTTGAATGTGTGCCTTAAAAAATACTGAGTATTTTATCTTAATTCCTCCTGAATAGTTTTACTGAGTGTAAGAAGCTCAGTACAATATTATAATAACCAGGTAGCTAACAAAAAATCAACAAAAACAAACTACCATGTAAAAAGAAATCTGCAGAAGGCAGAGGGGTCAATGGCTCAGGTTCATTTAGTCTCTAATTTATGGACAATCTCACATATCTCAATTGACTCCCTTTGACAGTATTTCTCTCCTAAATTTCTGTTGTGATGGTGGAAATCTCAAAATAATATATTTCTGTTTATAAAATCAATAAAGTAAATCTAATACTCCAAAAAAATCATCAGATTTTTTAAAAGCCCTTGATTATAATATACCTTTATGGTCAACTTTTCATTGGGTCTAGTTAGGGACCCAATTAAACATGAAATAAATTTCCAGTTTAGACAACTTACATATATGCCACCATCAAAAGCTGACAAATTAAATATTTATGTTCAAAACATTTTTTGTCCACAAAACAGAATTAAAAAAACCTAAATGATTTGTGATTAAAAAACAATCTCAGTTATGTCACAAAGTTCTTCCCTCAAACAAGTCATCTTTGGACAATGAAGCCACACAGGGATTAATGTTCTATGTTCTTCATACCATCTCCAGCAAAAAACAGGTGAAATAAAATTGAGGAAAACTTCAAAAACAGGTTTGATGGTGATATCATCATCACTACCATCACCACCGTATTTTTCTTCCTTTTTTGGTTCCTATTAATATGAGACCATGGAAACATTTCCATTACTCAGATGACAGTGATCCAAGTTACCTTTCTTCCTTTAATAACAGTTTTCTTTACCTGTACACTTAGCTATTCCATCAATTCCTTCAGCTTTTTCATCACGTAGCAAGGGATGAAAGAAAGTATAGACAAGATCACACTGGAATTGGAAGGATAAAATGTTATTGTAAGTTAAGTGTACCCAATATAAAAGACCTAAAGAAAAAAAGAAACATTTGGATATTTTGGGGAATTACCTCTGATACATCCGTTGAGGCATTCATCAAACTTTGTATGTAGCTGTTTAGTTCTACCTTCCTCCTGGCTGCCACATCCTTTATGTGAGTTCTTCCCAAAACCATTTTATTAGGGAAGCTGCAATATAAGTACAAATAAATAAACAATAAAACAGCACTCATTCTTTCCTCCTTCAAAAAGCAGATGAAAACTTTTCCGTTTAGATCAAAGGTTATCAAATTCCAACATTCTTTTCATCCAATGACCAAGTTGTTGTCTATAGAAAGCCTACTAGCACAAAGGATAGAGCAGCTGCCTCCATCTTGGGGGCTGAACTGAATAGGATTTGTGCTCTCTATCAACTCTATGATTCTATCCTACATGACCCAACAACTAATATACACACACACTGCAGGCAATATCAGCCCACCTTAGTTACAGTCAAAGAGTTAGTCAATTTTCCAACAGAACTGCAGGAGCTGTCTAACATATGCTACTTGTTTTAAAAAATACTCAAGTGTAAGGTAACATGGTAATGCAAGTGTTCTAAGTAACCAGGGAAATTGTGAATTACTTTCAAATAAGACATTCCTATATGCTTATTCAGAAATGCATGTTCAACAAGCAAATACAAAGGGTTTTTTATTTTCAAATATTTTTGTATTATTGCAAGATCTTTTAAGTTTTGATATATCGTTTTTATAACATAGGCATCTCCAATGTTGTAAAATCCAACCATAACTGACATTTGCATTAATTTTAGAAGATTCTTTTTTACATGGTTAGGGGAAAATGGTTAAAAAGGAATAAAGTATGTAAAGCAGAACTTAAACAGAGATATTACATTATTTAAAAGTTTCAGTGTTAGGAGAGAAACAGTTCTGTTCTCTTCTCTTTTGATGGCCTCCTTCAGAACCATGTACAATATAGTGGTCTACAAAACACAGAAGTGGCACCTATGGGTCCCACATAAAAAGGGAAATGTGTTTTTCAAAATGATATTTTTTCGAATTTGCCTGAGGATGATCCTACAGTGAGTAAGTTTTGGGATTAATTTGGATGGGAGCAGGGGGAGGACTTGCTAAATGAAGGGAATCACCCCCTCTGTGTTTTTTTTCCTGACAGAGAAATCAGACTCTCCTTGTGCACCTTGTTGCTATCAGAACACAAGACAATTTTGTGGATTTAGTTTGGGCACTCTAAACCAGCTTACTTAACATGTAGAAAACGAGATTTCAAAAAGTTACCCTGGTAATTTCCACAAAGGAAACAGGATCCCAAGCTTGTTGTGGAATTCCTGGAATTCATCAAAGGTCCGAAAAATGAATGTGGGTTCACTTTGCCCCTCTCTTAAAATTCTGACAACATAGATCTGCCAAATCCGAAAACAAACATTTTAGCAACTTAAAAATAAAACGCAAGTTTCAATTTTGTACTGTTACCATTTTACATCATCTGAAAGTGGAAAGCACAGAAATCTCAATGTCTTGGACTACAAGCATATATATAATTGGTTCACGGAGTTAAAAAAAACTACTGCCATTAATGATCTGAACAACAACAACAGAGGAGCAGATGCTTGTTTTCAGGGAGCCACTTTCTCCATGTTACCTGTCATAGGAGTGTGCTATGCATTTGAGCAAGCAGAAAGAAAACTACAAAATACTAACATCATTCTCGCTACATTATCCTGTTTTGTTTTTTTTGTCGTGTCAGGAGTGACTTGAGAAGCTGCAAGTCGCTTCTGGTGTGAGAGAATTGCCCGTCTGCAAGGACGTTGCCCAGGGGACGCCCGAATGATTTGATGTTTTTATCATCCTTGTGGGAGGCTTCTCTCATGTCCCCGCATGAGGAGCTGGAGCTGAGAGAGGGAGCTCATCCGCCTCTCCCCGGATTCGAACCTGCCGGCACAGGGGTTTAACCCACTGCGCCACCGGGGGCTCCTCCTTACATTATCCTGTAAGAGCAGCAAAGGCCCTGGCTGATCTTGTCTTATTTCCAAGAGTTTTCATATCTCTACCTAATAAATCTCATGAATGAAACAAGGCACCACTGAGCCATATATGACTATTCCCTTCAATTAGTGAGAAACAATGACTTGACTCAGGGCTCAACAGAATGCACTTAAAATGAAATTGAAAATCACAAATTCTTGAGAAATGATATAAATAATAATAATAATAATAATAATAATAATAATAATAATAATAATAATAATAATACACTTTATTTATACCCCGCTACCATCTCCCAGAGTACTCGGTGCGGCTTACATGAGGCCGAGCCCATAATACAACAATACAGCAATAACAACAATACAAGCAATTAAAATCAAACAAGACAATAAAACAATAACATAAGCATAAACAATAGGACAACACACTTTAAAATCTATGGGTAGGCCAAATGTAATTACAATTTAAAAATAATGCTGGACATGGGCGAAAAAGTGATGGGGCATTTGTGGAAACATACAAGCAGACCTAAAACAATATAATATAAAGGGAAAGGTACCAAAGAAGTATTGGTTCTAGGGTTGATTAGAAGATGTAGGTATTATGCTTCATTAAGATATAATCCATACACTTACATAATGTTTGTCTGGACTGTATTTCTTGTGGTATGTAAACACAGATGCTTCTTTGATACGGCCGTCTTGCTTAAGTGAGTATGTTTTGGGAGAAAAAGACAGAATGGGCTCATCATTGGAAGGCAGGCCTGAAAAACGCAGCTGAGCAAGGTTATGGATGAAGAAATTGAACTTTGTAGCAACACTTCCCAAGCTTGATTCAATTAGTCTAAAACAGAGGAAATACAAATTAGATTGTGATTACATGCTATTAAGTGTGCAATAAACATTTTTAAAAACAAATTTTGAAAATTTAACACAAGGGAGTAACTGGCAAAGCATCCAATTGAAACTGCAAAACTATTCTAATAGATAACCATGATGGGAGAAACCAAATGAAATAAGCATTAGGCTTCAATCCACATAGCTACTAATCTCAAACAATTGTCTACATGTAATGTAATTTCTGTTATAGCAATTAATATTTGCTAAACTAGTTAAGGCTGTAATACCAGGGAGTAAGTCCTAATGAACTCAAGGAGATTTAGAATGAACATAAAATATATGTAACAAAAGGCTGTTTTATCTTTGAGAACATAAGTTCTCTAAGGAAGTCCTTCAACTCAACTTTATGATATGCTGGGACTAGAAGTCAGGTAATAGCCAGTCTGACTAGGAGCATATCCCCTGTGGATACAGGGATCTTATTCTGTTACAAATATTTCTGCAGTACCTTGTAAACAAAATGGTAGCTTCAGCGTCTGTTGTTTGGGACTGAAGAGCATCCTGGACATATTTCAAGTCTTGAATACCATTAAGTTCTGGTAACCCAGAGGATAGCATCTAAAGAGCAAAATGATTACTTGCACAACAGAAACTCATGCTGTATTTTTAAAAGAAACGCCCTAAAATGTGAAACTTATAGTTTCCTATGCTTGAATGCCACAGTTGTCTTTGTTCAAAGCATAAAAGACATGCATTTTAAAAAAAACGTGTTGACACCTATGACAATGCAGATATATTACCAGTGACAGCAGACTGAGGAAAATGTTGGCTCGTTTCCTTATCAGGTTATAAGCCTGGCAGCAGAGATCAACAAACAGCTGGAAGCGAATTGTAGGCTTTTCCCCACCATTGATAACATAGGCCATATCTGATGTCAGCACAAAAGGAGCCCGATCCCTTTGAAAGAAGATCAAATAAATATACATTTGTAAGTACTGAATTTTCTGGTTTTATACTTCTAGTCTACTAAGGCATTTTATTTACCTTCAGGGACTCTGGAAATCATGGTGCTTGCACAGTAAGATTTATATCTAATTTCTGCAAACACAAGGTATGAAGTCAGCAAATAACATACAGGTTTTATAAGAATTTCACACTTGAGATCTGATGAAATCAATGCATCTTCTAAAATTTACTGAGTTGAACAAAAAAGAAAACCATATCCCAAAATTACACTCATTTTATTTCTTATTTATTGAATGAATGAATGTATACCCTGCTCTGCTCCCTGGATGGGATCCAGGGTGGCTTCCAGAAGTTTAAAACAAAATGTACAAATGTTAAAAAAGAATGAAATAGCAATAAAAATGATTAAAGTAGGCAAACATAGGCAAAGCATAATTACTAATTATAGATCTTAAAAAGTAAATACAGCACACTACTCTGCATACTTTACTGTTCTAAAACGGAAGGGTCTCATTCAATAAAGAGATCTTCATGTGCCAGCGAAGAGCAGCAGGGGGCCAATCAAATGCCTGAAGCAGCCATGGAGAAGAGAAGGACCTTTTCAGTGTCCTACCAAATAAGTCTGTGACTGAGAGAAAGCTCTCCTGTGCCACTCTTAAAGCTTAAGCTGGCTTGCAAAGGGAGATATGGTCTTTCAGATAGTATGCACTCAAGCTGTGTGCAGCTTAAAAGGTTAACAACAGCACTATGAGAATTGTGTCTGGAAACAAACTGGCAGCCAATGTTCATTGTTTTAATACTAGAACATTAAGAAAGCAAGGTCAGACCAATGAAAGAGCTTACCCTCACAAACCCATTTCTCTGATAGTACAAAAGTACCTACTAGGAATAACAGCAGTTATTTGTACTTCTGTTTCATATTCAAATCTGACTGCAATGACACAATGTTAGCACAAGGTCCAATAATATCTTACTGGAAGGGATGACTGTATGAAGTAGTCCCCGTGTTAAAACAGGAATAAAAACTTCAGACTGCGAAAAGATTGCAGTTGTGACAATCAATCAAATTATGTATCACCACCACCTCATTTCCTCCTCCCTTTTCCTCTGAAAATCTCACGAATGAAAAATGAATGCAGCCTTAATTCAGCCTTCTTAAACTAAGCACAGAACCCTGAAGTATTGGACTACAACTGGAACAATTCCCCCAGCCAGCACTATGGGAGTTGTAGACCGATGCAAATTTGAGGAAAGTTGGTCCAGTTCAACTGCAATGGAAATGGGCAATTTGTGGCATTCCCGTTTTTGTTGGACTGCAGCTCCCTTGATGCCCAGCTATTGCCTAAGCTAGACTGTGCTAATAATAAGACCAAAAAACCCAGATGGCCACAAATTCCCCATTACAAAATTAAGCTTCCAAATTTCTCAGATACAGATTTCAGATGGCAATCTTACCTTTTTGTATGTGCCGTTATTTTAAAATAGACGATGTAGCACGAGGCACATTATCAGCCTTTTAAAGATTATTATCCATTATAATAGCTAAAAAAGTTAGTGGTGTTGTTTACAGAACACTGGAGCCTGATTTTATCGTCACATATTATTCTCACATACTTTCAACAGCATACCTCTTAAAGCTTCCAAACATCTGTGCATGTCCCAAAAACTTTCCGAAATCAATATGGAACATATGTCCTGTACTTCGAAGCATTATGTTGTCATTGTGGCGATCACAGATACCAAGGACATAGGTGGCTACGCAACATCCCGCACAAGAATAGATGAAGTTTTCAGAAGCCTAACAAATGGAGAAATAAATATGAAGTCAGATTCAATCTGCAACTTGGAGAATTCTAACTTGTTTTTTATGTCAAATTTAAGTCTGCAATCTAAATGGCTGGCCACACCTGAAAGATAACATATTTGTGGGACTTGAGAATTGTGTTTTGTTCGAGGAATTAAAAAAGGGTTAGGATAACAAATCAACTATAATTTAAAAAATATGATTGCTTAGTAAAAACCTAATATAAAGTAGTAGAAGAAGGCAGTTTTATATAGTGGTTTGTGTGTTAGAACAGGATTCTGGTTGAGCTATGCCCAAGAGACTAGCTGAGCCTGGGAGTTTTGGCAATAGTTACATATTTCGGTTTTAGCTGTGCAGGAGATTACAGAAAGACAATTCTTGCTTCATGAGCTGCTGGAAGATGATCTTCCACATGGACACCTAAAGACCATTCGAATCTCTCTCAAAGGACATTGTATGAGTCAATGCAACTGTTCACACACATATATATGTTGCTCTGCATTACAAAGAGTAAAGATCTTGTTCTTTACTGATCATCTGTATGGCAAGATAGTGTGTGGACTGGTAAAAAACGTAAACTACACATGATGGTCATTCCATCACAGTTTGTGTGTTAGAACAGGATTCTGGAGACCAGGGCTCAAATCCCTGCTTGGCCATGAAATACACTGTGTGACCTTGGGTAAATCGCATTCACTCAGCCTCAGAGGAAAGCAATGACAACCCCCCTTTGAATAAATCATTCTGTGGAAATCCTGTGATAGGATGACATGAGGCTAAAAGTGACTCCAAGGCACACAACATCATCAACAAGAGCAATGTCAAAGAGGGAGAATCCTTAACATCTCTAATTTTTTTATGGAAGATCCTACAGATTCTTCTAATAAGGAACAGATAATATGTGGGAAATGTAATTTCAAGCATTAGGAAGTGACAGACAAAAAATACCCTACATCAAAAGTCATAAATATTTTCATTAAAAAAAATACCAAGTTGTCTCCTCCTCCCAAAAAATCTAATGTCAATCTTTCCTTCCTGTGCATTATACAGATGGAAAAAACCTCTGAAGTTTTTCAGAAAGGGTGAATGTATTTTTTCCAAAATTGAATGACAGAATAAATATTAATTATCGTGTTTTAAATTAAGCACATTAACAATATCTTTCTCAGGTGTATTTATATAGATATTTCCTAACCTACACTCAAATAATTCTCTATCTCAGTGCTGTCTACTCTTATTAGGAGTGGGCTTTCTGGATTGATGATAAAGCTCTTTCCCTCATTCTGCTTCCTGAAGTTAGGCTAAGCATGGATTTCTTGCAAGAAAAACATGAACTTTTCTGTACTCTTTTTAATACTCTTCATATCATAACACATTCAAGTTCTGGAGCCATATGGAGGTTACCTTTTCATATTCTTCTTCTGTGGGATTGTATTTTCTTAGCCATTCAGCAAGAGGCTTATCTTTGAAGGACCCAGTCACACCATTTTCTACCTGAATTTTCCTAAGTGTGTCTGCAGCTGGAACAAGCTCCACCATCCCTTTAATTCAACAAGCAATACTGATTTTATTAATGTATTTAGCTGTGTGTTAACTTCAAACACCAAAAAGAAACATTTCTGTAAAATCAAACTGTTTCCATCCTCATTCACTTTCATTAAGGCTTAGTAAGCATATAAGTGACAGAAATCACTTATCACATATGACAGAAATCGCATATAAGTGACAGAAAGAGACACAAAGGAAAATACTATTTTATTATTAAATCAGCTCAAAATCTGAGTAAAATCAATAACTAAAAGATCATTTATCACATTACACTTCTTCAGGCACAGTAAGCCAGAGACTCCTTTTTTACCTATATCTGTAAGATTGCTCCATCTAGAGAAGCATTTCCTTCATCATCCATGTTAAAACTACAGTACAGGAATGCTACAGTACAGGAATGCTATTTTGGGACCCTCCATCGGCCCCTTGTTGCACTGCTTAATTTGCTGTGTCAGATTTAAAAACGTTTTCTCTAAAATTTCACCTGCAATATCAGTTTTTGAGGGGTGAGGACTAGTGATATAGAGACTGTAAACAGTTACTTCAGCTTCAGAATCGAGCAAAGAGGAGCACTTTGAAGTTGAATCCCACTCCTGGAAGCACACTTCACTTTAAAATAAACACCCTGTTTTTTTAAATGAAACTGCCTTATTAAAAGTGTTGCCTTATTAGTTGTCCTTTAACATTTCTTGGCTACTGAGTTGCACAAGGGGAGAAAGAGGAGAACATCCACTGACCAAAAAGTGAGGGGCATTGCAGTTCTAGTTCCTGGAAGCTGCTCTCCCCTTCTCTAGCTGCTTTCTGATACATCCTGAGCTGCACATGTGGTTTCAAGAATATTGAACAGCTCAATCTATATGAATAACCCAATAAAACTACTATACTTATGAAGCTCTTATTGGCTTGCTCTAGCAAATGTAGAAGATTTAGAGCAATTATGCTCTAAAGGTAGAGCCAGACAGGATGGAAAACAACTGGTTGATACCTCTGTCTTTGCCAGTAGAAAGGCACTTGAAGAGAACCATCCGCAAATCTAGTCCTTCCTGTAACCAAATCTTATCCATAATTTTTATCATTTGCAATGCCAGCATGTCTTGACGTAGGTCTTCTCCAACCTAAAACAAAAGCACAATTAAAATGAATGGAAGGACTAAGAGTTTCTCTGCAAAAACTGGCAGACAATTAGGTGTGCTTTTCATAATATCAACTTTCTAACTACTGCCATACTGAAGTGATTTCATGTGCATAGCATCTGTACTTTTTAATCTGAACAAGCCCATATATCTTATAATAAAAATTGTATCAAATTACCTGAATGTCCAAGTCATTAGTCATTTAATTGTGAAATTGGAAAAAAGCGGTGGGAAGGTGGAAGAGAAATGGGATTTTGCTATTTGAGAATCACACTCAAAGTTTCACCAGGAATGCTAAATTAGATGTAAATTTACATACATATACATACATATACTCTTATCAATGCAGTTTCCCTTCTAGCTCAAAATTTAGTCAAAAAATGGAAAGCAACATCGGTATGAAATACAAGGATGAAATGCACATTTGGAGAGCTTCTGTTTGTATACCAGAAAGCCAAAAAGTTTCAAATGAGCAATGCTATAGTAATACAATTGCCATTGCAAGAAAACTATGTTCTGTATGAAAATAGAAAATTAAAAATGGAATCATTACTATTACTTATAACCTGCTTTTTAATCTCTAAAAAGAGACCCAAAGAGGCTAACAACACTTAAAACAATACAATATACAATTTAAAACTGAAGACACTTACTAAAATAGGATTTAATAGAGAGGCTATTAAATATTAATAGTTAAAATAATTAAAAACCCACTAACATATATAAAACCCTACACAACACCCCTGGTTCAAACGTAAAAGTGCTGTTCTTTAAAAACCTGCCTGAAAAGAAGCAAAAATAGAAAAAGTACCTTAAACATGACATTAATTTCTTCTCCCAAGGGATCTGCATTCACTAGAGCAATTTTAAGAGGTACTGCATTTGAACTGAAGTAGGAGCATGCCTGCCAAAAACATTTTATATTTATTATGACAAGATTAGGATTACTTAAAATATTAAAACAAAGAGGCTCGGAAATAAATTCCAGAGATATTACCAAAATATAATATTAATAAAAAGTCAGTGTATAGGATATAACTTCTTTCTCTTTCCTTTTTTCTTCCTGTTTTGTCTCAATTATTATACAGCAATGAAATGAGGATTATAAAAAATAGCAAAATATGTAGTTTGTAGTTTCCTGTTTTGTCTTTCTTGAATGCTTGGTATTTTAGTTCTGGTCTTCAACTAAAATATTCGGACAAGTTTGGCATATAAGACAAATGAAAAATGAATGCACCGGTATACGATTTCCCAGGTGTGGTAATCTTATTTGTATGTTCTCAGTTAATTCTCACTATTGATGCTACCTAGTATGAATTAATTAATTTTATTACAGTCTCAGACCAGGAGTTCGAAATACGAAAACATTAAAATCATAGGTTTTTTAAACAATAAACTCAGAAGGTCAAAACATTAAAATCATAAAGTCCAAGATTTACAACAATCATAATCTGCTTCATATTTGAAACATATCCATAAGTCTAAAACATGTGGAGTTTGAAGCATAGCTTACAATTTTTGTGTGTGTGCCAGGAGCGACTGGAGAAACTGCAAGTCGCTTCTGGTGTGAGAGAATTGGCCATCTGCAAGGATGTTGCCCAGGGGACACCCAGATGTTTCTGATGTTTACCATCTTTGTGGGAGGCTTCTCTCATGTCCCCGCATGGGGATCTGGAGCTGACAGAGGGAGCTCAACCCACTCTCGCTGAATTCAAACTGCTGACCTGTTGGTCATCAGCCCTGCCAGCAAAAGGGTTCAACCTACTGCACCACTGGGGGCTCCATGGTTTACAAATAACACTTGATCAAAATCTGTGGATGCTGCCCAGTAGCTGTTTGGCACATTTAGTCTAATTCCTTAGCAGAAATCTGTCTGTCATGGAAGAGCCTACCACCAGCGCAGCCTCTTACCTCACAGGAGCATGCAATTCCACCATCACAGAAAGGTAGTGTCACAGTGGGATGGTTATACATAAACACAGACTCAGTTTAGGCAGATATAATTATATGTAAGGAAGGTACACAATGTATTAAATTAGAAATGTATGTAGTCAACATACCTTAACATTCAGTTCTTTTGCTACAAGGCTGGGACTGAGTGGCAAACGACATTTATTTTTTAAGAAAAAGGACTGAACACGTTCCATTCCATTTTGCAAGACAACCTGTTAATGAAAAGGGAAGAATTAAAATTTATTTAATTTTAATCCTGAGTAGCCCTTTAATCATTCAAACTACTACTCATGGATACTGAGAAGTCCTTTTATGAACCTATTACCCATGATGTACTGTTCCTATTGTGTTCCCTACAGGACGTTCATGTTTAAGGAACAGCCACAAAGAAGTGTGTTTATACATTCCCATTTAAGACCTCAAGACTCAAGACTTTTCAAATAAATGCAATACTAACTCAATAACTCCACTATGAATATAAGAGCTAAAGGATTTTGTTTATTAAACATGAATGCAACCATTAAATGAGAACTGAGCAGCTATTTACTTTTTTAGGTGAGCTGGCTCTCACTGACATATACGCATAATCTACTAGTTCAACAAACCTGTCTGGCGGATCCATTTGTTTGCTTTACTTTTTCTGCAACCATTCCCAGTATTTGTACTAGTCTCGTCTGCTTTTCCAGGTCTTCTCTCAGTCTTTTGCCACAGACTGAAAGGAAGGCACCAAGGATATGCTCATACATTACACCATGTTTAATATCATGAAGGGTATCCTTCAGTAACCTGAAATATTATATAATATTGCATTGATTTCTTTCACAAAGTACATGCACAGCTGCATACTCACTGCAAACCACTGATCTATTTTCTGCTGGAATAGCTAAATGTGAAAATGATTTCCTATGCAAGGCAATGCAGCAATACAAGCAACACAAGACAGGGAAGGAGGAAGGCTGTAATACTAACCACAGTTGTAGATGATTTATAATCACAGGAAGAGAGGAATCTTTATTTTTAAAATATGGTTTCTCATTATATCGAAACTCCAAAAGTCTTTTCAAACAAGTTGTGATTAGAAACCAACTTTAAACCAGGGTTTAATGTTCACTTCTGAATTCCGGCTATTTGGGATTAACTAATGATAGTCTCAGTTTGAGATGTAATGGGGAAACTATGCCTCTTACAGGAAGTGTTCATGCTGTTTGTAGCCACGGTGGTTTAATAAGCAAGGATTCATAGCTTGTGACATTTTAAACTTAGTTAGTGGGTCTCATAGGATTGCTCTGTGAGGTATGGAAAAACTGCATTATGTAATTTGATTTTATATTAGGATTAAAGCAACCCAATCTTGTTCTGGAGCATGAAGTTTTCAGCTTTCACAAAGTAGTCACATCATAGACATCTAGAGAATATGCCATGAGAATTTTTGCAAACTCTTTGTATCTAGGTTGTTCTAGCTTAAAATCATTACTCACATAATTAAGTTGTTTCAAAGTTTTATGCACTAAATTCCCCTGTATGTATAGTGAATATTAACAAAACGTAATGTTAAGATGAACTTATTGTTTTTCACCCACATATTTGATTTGTGTGGTTTGTTTTACTATCCCCCACTTCACTTAAAATGCAAAATGAAGAACTAAAAGCAGTCGACAGGAACAGAGAGCAAGCAATTGTACTAAAGATTTTCAGTTGTGACAGCACAATTCTTTTTGCATTATAAAGAACACTTAGAAATATTTTTTTCACTTTTACATTATTTATCCACTTAGCTGTGAAAACACAGAGCCTGATGACAGATTTTTTTTTAAAAAAAGAAAAACAACGTAGGTTGTCTTACCAATATAAATAGTGTGCTATTCGAATATTTCCTAATGCTCGGGCTAAAAGGAATCTGACTAGAGAGTTGTCCAGGTAAGTTTCATATTTCAGTGCCTAGATACATAAAAAGAGATCACATTTTACTCAGTCATATTCTAAGATTTAAAAGAATAATTGTAGTACAGTGGTAGTAGAAAGCATAACTGAAATACAACTAAATTTGGCTTCATATTATCAGATGATGGAAGGCTTAGAATTTCTTTAAGGGAAAAAATATCATCAAAACTATGTTCCTGAGAATATAAAACAATCCAGTATAAATGAAAGTTGTATTTCATACAGAAAAGCGGTTAGGTACTATATTTATTTTTACTGTATTTATTTAGGGATGCATCTAAAGTTGTTCTTTCATTGGAGGCTTTTGGGAATGGAACAATGGGAATATACCACATTCCTATTGCATTATCCTTGACCATGTCCTATGCCAGGGGTCCTCAAACTATGGCCCGGGGCCAGATACGGCCCTCCAAGGTCATTTACCCAGTCCTTACTCAGGATCAACCTAAGTCTGAATGACTTGAAAACACACAACAACAACAACAACAATCCTATCTCATCAGCCAAAAGCGGGGCCACACTTCCCATTGAAATACTAATAAGTTTATACTTGTTAAAATTGTACTTCCTTTTAATTATTGTATTGTTTTTAAGTGTCTTTTCCACTACAAATAAGATATATGCAATGTGCATAGGAATTCATTCATGCTTTTTTCAAATTATAATCCGGCCCTCCAACAGTTTGAGGGACTGTGACCTGGCCCTCTGTTTAAAAAGTTTGTGGATCCCTGTCCTATGCTGTTCTAAGAGTCCTACAACTTTCTGCAGCAAATGGGGCTTGTAGGGTAGGAAGCACAATGAGTTGCAGAGAAGAGGAACCAGGAATAAATGCTTCCCTCTTTTGCTCACACAAGGCCTGCTAAGTCAAAACTGTTTTAGATGCTTGCATGTCTTGAATTGATCAGATAATTGCAAGAATAGGGCAAAACTGAAACTACTTTAAATACAAAGAAAAAACCAACAACAAAGTATTAAGAAAAGCAATTAGTAACACCAATTCCATCCATGTCACTAATAATATTATTAAGATGAATTAGACTGACATAGTGTAAGCATATGTTGAAGAAAAAGGCCTTAACCTAGGATCAAAATAACATCAAGCTCATTGCTGCAGAGAAGTTCCCAGGTATTTCATACAAGAAATCTCTCTGGTTACAACCTGAATAACTTCCAGAGTGACAAGAAGAGTGAGCATTGACAATAGTCTCAGATGGCTCCTATCATTTGGGCAGTATCCCTGTGATCTTGTATCATGAACCGAAGAACTGAATTGTACTTAAACTTTTCAAGTATTTATTCTATACTGTTTACACATAGTCTCTTCCATCATCCTATTTTCTCTGGCCATTGCCAGTAAGAGTGAGAGAAGGGAAAACACCCACCACCCACCAGTGGTTGTCAACCTTCCTAACGCCATGACCCTTTAATACAGTTCCTCATGTTGTGGTGACCCCCAACCATAAAATTATTTTCGTTGCAACTTCATAATTGTAATTTTGCTACTGTTATGAATCGTAATGTAAATATCTGATATGCAGGATATATTTTCATTCTCTGGACCAAATAGGAAATTGATGATTGACTATGGAATTGGACAATGCTTGACAATAAGGAGACACCAATGATGTTGTTTTTATTGCTGTTGTGGTTTATGTAATTGTAATGTTTTAAACTGTTTTATGATACTACTAGCTTGGGTACCCGGCGCTGCCCGGGTTATTTTAAAAGGGTATTGTTTGTTTTTGGATGTTAGGTAATATCATTTTGGTAATATATTATGCTGTGTCTTAGAAAAAAACTCCGTCTTGGTTTTTTTTTTTTTTATGAATGCTCCCATTTTGTTTTTTTATGAAAACTCCATCATGTTACTTAGGTACCCGATGAGGCCTGCAGGGATGTAGCAGAAGGGTCAAAGGAGGCCTGGGCAAGGGGCTTTGGGGCCCTGAAGTGTTTGTAAGCATAAAAAGCATAAAGGAGAATAATTGTTTTCTCTGATGTGTTTTAAATAATGTATGGGCTTACCTTGTAGAAAGACAATGCTATTTCAAATGACCCTGGGAAAAGGTGCCACAATCCTGTTGCAGTTTGGAGTAGGACTGCTTATTTGAGAAAGGCAGTGTTTGTGTGTGCTCCAAGTTTAGTTTAGATGCACTGTCAGCTGGGGTCAGTGAGTGAGGTTGAACCACAACTCCCATATGCACTTCCCATCATCCATAGTGCATCGTCCTCCAAAATGCACCAGGATGCATTGTGAGTCATGGGGTTTTGATCAGTCATAGGTGTGGGTGTAGGTTGCAGTGGTTTCAGTAAGTGAATCAGGTCAAGGTACTGCAAATCCCATCATTCATGGGCCATCCTGCCCTGAGCCACACCAGGTTGTAAAGTGGGCCATTGGGCCTCTGCATGGCAAGTTCGGTACGGATCCGTCATTGGTGTGGGCCACAGTGCTCTAAGGAAGTGAGTGAAACTACTGAAAGTCCCGTCATCCATGGTCCATTCTCCCTCAAACTGTACCAGGATGTAGAGTGGGTCTTGGGGGGTCTGTACAGCAAGTTTGGTCTTGATCAGTCATTGGATGAGATTGCAGCAGTCTCGGGAAGTGAGTGAAGGTACTTGGAGTCCCTTCATCTGTGGTCAATCATCCTCTAAACTGCTCCAGGATGGAGAGTGGGCCACGGGGGCTCTGTGTGGCAAGTGTAGTCTTGAGTAGTCATTGCCGAGGGTGTCAGTGGTCTCAGGAAGTGAGTGTAGTGACTGCAAGTCCCATCATCCATTGTCAAATTGTTCCAAACCACACCAGGATGTAGAGTGGGTCATGCTGGGTCTCTGTGTAAATGGTGGTCCTGATCCATCATTGTTGGCAGTTGTAATGGTCTTAGGAAGGGAGTTTAGGTATTGCAAGTCCCATCGTCCATGGTGCATCCTCCTGCAAGCCGCACCAGGATGTAGAGTGCGTCATGGAGACTCAGTGTGCCAAGTGTGGTCTTTATCGGTAATTGGATGAGGTTTGCAGTGGTCTCAAAAATTGAGCAAAGGTACTGCAAGTCCCATAATCCATGGTCCATCCTTGGCCAAACCACACCAGGACGTAAAGTGGGTTATGAGAGGTCTATGTGCCAAGTTTGGTCCTGATCAGTCATTGGATGAGGTTAACAGCGGTCTCAGAATGTGAGTGGTGGTACTGGAAGTCCCATCATCCATGGTTCATCCTCCTCCAAACTGCAGTAGGATGTAGAGTGGGTGATGGGGGCTCTGTGTGCCTATTTCGGTCTGTATTGGGAGTGTTCTGACCCAGCCCCCGGCCTTTCCTTTCCTGTCTTTCTCATCTCGGAATCTTGGATTTGAGGCTGGCCAATCAGAGACCATATGCAAATTTCCTTCTGTCATGCCCCGTTTCTGCCATGAGCCCTCTTCTCCACCAGGGGCTCCTATTGAAGGTGGCCAATCAGAGACCATATGCAAATAGCACCGCAGCGGCAGCCAATCAGAACGCTGCCACATACTCCTTCCTCTGTCCGATACAAACATTCTCTTTTATTATATATATAGATGTATACTATTTTGTTGGAAACCGCCTTGAGTCGCCGATAGACTGAGAAAGGAGGTACACAAATACAGTAAATAAATAATAATAAATAAATACATTTGGCACAAATATCCGATAAGCCCAAATGTAAACACTGGTGGAGTTTGGGGAAAATAGACCTTGACATTTGGGAGTTGTAATTGTCAGGATTTCTACTTCATCTACAACCTGAGAGCATTCTGAACTCCACCAATGATAGAACTGAACTAAACTTGGCACACAGAACTCCCATGATCAACAGAAAATACTGGAAGGGTTTGGTGGGCATTGAACTTGAGTGTTGGAGTTTCAGTTCACCTACAACCAGACAGCACCATGTATTCAAATAATGATGGATCTGGAACAAACTTGGCACAAATACTCAACATGCCCAAATGTGAACACTGGTGGAGTTTGGGAAAATAGACTGCGATATTTGGGAGTTGTAGTTGTGGGGATTTATAGTTCACTTACAATCAAAGAGCATTCTGAACTCAGCCCACAACTAATCTGTACCACACTTGGCACACTACCTACATGGCCATCACTGCATATTGGTGGGGTTGGGGGGAGCTGTTTTTGAATTTTGGGAGTTTTAGGTCACCAACACTCAGAGAGCACTCTGTACCAAACTGGTGATGGAACAAGTAAACTTGCCACACAGAACTTATCCCAGAAACAGCTCTCCCCTTGGCTGAGAGGCCGGCCAATCACAGCAGAGGAGGGATATTCGGAAGCGAATGTATCAACTGCCCAGATCATTTCCTCATTCCAGAGGTTAACCAGGGCTTCAACAGGATCACCTACCAAGGTGATAGGAGCCATCAGAAACTCATCTGGATCCATCAGTCTCTTGGAACAGATGGTCTTAATAGGTCTTCCACCCCTGCAGGGGTTATAAGTCACTGTAAGCCTGTCTGTGCCCCTGTTCAGAAGATTTTACCTCACTTTCTGTCTCTGTGATAATTGGGATTTTGAAAGATTGGCAACAAAGGATTGATGATAAAAGTTTCAGTTGAGACACATTTTCCCCATGTTAATGACTCTTTCAGGAGTGAATTTCCTTTCTGAGGGGGAGGGGGTAGATTTCTATCACTTTCTGATGTCTCAACCCCATTCTTAACTATGAGTCATTTGTAAGTCAGATGTTTATAACTCAGGGACTACCTGTAGTCCATTAATGATAACAAATCGTAAATGCCCTTTTCAAAACATTTAACACAATGTTCTCCCGACCTGCACAAACTGGGGTAGAATATCAGCCAATTCATCATCGCTGATTGCCTCAATCCACTTCACAGCTTTTGTTCTTACTTCCTGATCTGCGAAACTACACAGGTTAAAAAGTATAATTAATTCATTTCAACAAGAACATACATTCCTAACTAGGTCTTGGAATGACTACTGTTATTGAGTCAATTCTTAATCTATACAAAAAGATGTCAAACATTTGTAGTAAACGGAATTAAACAGCTTCAGAAACTGTTATTTAGCTCAATCAATTTAGCACAACAAACAAGTCACTGAACTGTACTAAAAAATCAATTAGCAAGTAATTATCTCTCACTAGAAGAGAAACAAAGATAAACAATAACAAAATCTGCTTATAAATCATTTCCAGCTGATGAGAGCTATTTCCAATCTTAAATACTACTGTATCTGTCTGCAGAACTGGCATGGCATTGTTTCAATGTCAGCACTAACACGGCTGCATTCTGGCACAGTGACTGGCACATTCCACCCCATTTATCTGCTGCCACAGCACCCAAAGAATCAGGCTGTAAGCCCATTCATGCAGAGCAATTTGGAACTGTAAGCGCTTCAAGAAGAGCATTCAATCATGTGTAACCTCTAAACAAATGGTCATGTGGCAACAGAAGTGTCTGCAAAACCAGCAAACTGTCAGCAAAGTACTGGAATGTTAATGTAGTTTGTACTTCAAATGCATTTTTAAAGACAGCTAAGCATACCTTTTATCTTTATCAGCACTGTTTAATACATTTACTAGTACTGATATTAGAAAAAATTACTCACTTGGAGTCTAGTAATGCTAATGCAGTCAGAGGAGGTAAGGGAGGCCATTGCTGAAGTAGCAAATATATTTCAGGGAGAGTTGTCAAATCCCAGTTTGGAGCACAGGCTAAAACCTTTGGAAGGCTATTTACATCTGTATGGCAGTAATGTCTTTTCTCCCACAGAAATGCTTTGTCCTTTCTAGACAGGCTGCAAAAGGGATTCAAAATATCTTTGTTAGTTCATGACAATATAACAGTCACCACAGCAACTGGAGGCAATACCTAAAGTGTACTTTTAACACTGCATGGCACAAAAATAAAGTCACAGGGGATTGCCTATCGATTATGCCACTAATTTATTTAATTTCCTCAGACGTTTCATCATTTACATGTTTTATTTCCCATCTTTGTCCAATTGTTCTTTTATGAGGAGGCTGGCTTATTAAACTGTTTATTACATTTTCCTGGCGATATAAGCAGCACTGAAAAACTGCAACTGAAAATCTTGGAACATCTTTTAAAACAAGGACCTATGATCAACAAAATCTCATTTCCTTTAAAAGTCTGGCTTTGGTAACATTATGTGCATCTTATGTGGATTCAATTTTAAAGACGGCTAAGCATACCTTTTAACCTGCCAGGCATGAATTTCAGTTCCAAAACCAAGACAGATTGAGCAGGAAAAAACATAAACTATTTTGCAGAGCCTTTATAATATGATCACATGTTCTTCCAACTTTACTACAGATGGAATGAGAGTGATTACAGATCTAATTAGGGTCCTCATGATCTATAAATACTTCAAGTTGTGGCCTGCCAGTGTTGTTGGACTGCAACTCCCAACACCTCTAGCCAATGTAATGGTGGGGGATGAGGGTTACTGTCTAATGGTATCTGGATAGCCACAAGTGATTTCAAGAAAGATGATTTCTGACTTCAAAACCTGTGCATCCTAAGCTATCTAAAAAGGAGAAACAGCACAGTTTTCTTCCCCCAATGAGCAAGGAACCAGCACCATATTTGTGCCCAATGACTACAATTGTTCCTTTTTTCTGGACATCCATCATGGACCAGCAGCCAATGGCTCAAGGACTGACATCATCCCACAGACCAGCATCTTGAGCAGCACTAGTCAGAGGAATGGGAAGCATCATTCCTCTAAGCCGTGACACTATTAATAATTTTCTACCATTTTCCTTCTTATTTCAAACATATTGGAAGCAATGAGCCAAAGTTACATGCAGTTCCAGAATTCCATCTAAAGTGCTTTGTAAATAAAAAATCTCACAGCCAAAACAGAAAATATTTAGCCAGTATTCCTGCTCAATAATTATTCTCCATACCATTTTCAACATAGGAATAGGAGAATGCCTAGGTCCTCACATGGAAAGAGGAAAGGTTCTGGTTTATGTGGAAGATTTCTATCAGGGAAAGAATCCCACATTCCCACTTGTGTGAATCTTGTGTTTAACAGGAATCCCTCCTTTTCAAATAGCGAGAGGACAGATGATATATGGGGATGTGTTCCCCTGCTCCTCTACTGAAGAAAGCAAGGTGTGTTGCAGAGGAAAGTGATGTCTGCTAGGTTCAGAAGTGTAGGAAGATTGTTCCATGGCTACATGAAGGTACTTTTGGGGGGAACTAGATTTATTTTAACTGTATGACAAGACCAGAGATACTAAAAATGTATATTTAATCTAAGAAAAAAAATAAACTAATTATGGAAAATACAACTGTTAATGCATTGCAACATACCCAACTGTACCCTGTTTGGAAAGAATGGTAATAAGACGCTCTCTTGAATCTTTTTCCAGTGTTTCTATGGAATTACATGTGGAGCCATTTGCAGCTTCAGGATTTTTGTATATAATATCAAATGGCAAAGAAGGAAAGTCAACCTGAAAAGTTTAAAAAATAAATCAGTATCTAAGCAAATTATGGAATTAATTGACCTGCTGGCACTTATTGCATCGACTACAAATAATACCAAGTAATATTTTGTCTAACCTGTGTCTAAACTGAGACAGACTGAACAAAGTGGATAGAAAAGAAAGGGAACAGTTATACTGTTTTGTAAAATATTCCAATATCTGACTGGACATGACACTCAAATTCTCACGTGCAAACAAACAGGTATCACTTGCACATGGGTAATTTGTTACCACCTTTATGATTGACACAAAATTCTCCAAAAGCATATAAGAGGGAAACAGTGTTACCTGCAACACTATCCTTTCCATTAGGTTTCCTTTTTTATGGGCTACTCCAGAAACAAGGCTTGTGGAAGGTGTCCAAATATGTAAAAGTCTTGTTCCAGAAGTTAACATCCTAAGGGAATAAACAAAAGAAGGAATGACATTTACTTGTCCAACCAATTTGTTTTCAAGGTTAGGAAATATCCTAGCAGATTTCTACAGCATAATGAAGACTTCTTTTAGATAAAAGTAAAAAATATATTAAGAAACTATAGAAAAAGTAAAGTAACGAAGAACATTAGAATCATGAAAAAAATGATAACACAGCTTATGATTAAAATACTGTGAAAATGTGTTACTTGAATCCTACTGACTTCAATGGAATTTAAGGAGCCTAACAGACTAGTAATCACTAATATTTATTTGGGATTCACAATAACTGCCATTCCAAAAATATACCAGACTGGAAATGTGACTCCATTACAATATAGTATTTTTAACTATTATGAAGAAAAGCTTTTCAGATGTATTATTCAAATAAATACAACATGAGTCTAGAAGCCCACTAAATTCAGGTCATTTGGGGGGGGGGGGGTTATCTGTTTGACTCTTTTCTAAACGATGTTACTAACCCATAGTACTATTTGTAGCATTTTGAATACTTACCGTCTAAAATCAAAGAGAGGGAAGGAAACTTGACCCAACATCTCTGGGCCTTTCCGCTGCTTATTTGAGTCAGGAGAACTACCACTATTTTGATTTAATATTCCAAAGAGAGTAAGGCATAAGATGGATTCTAATGGCAACTGAGAAATCTGGATAGGGAAAATTATCCTGCAAAATAAGAAAAGTGAATGATTAGGCATAATTCCCTACTTTATTTTAATTAATGTGCAGTTTTTCACTTCAGATTTTGTTTTACATCACATCTGCAATGCATATTCAACATAAATAGTTATTGGTATTTCCTGAAGCTAAATTACTTAATGAAACAGCTCTCTTACAAAACATTATTAAATATTATACTGATAACCTTTGGTACAAAAGAAATTATATCATGGGAAGAGATATTAACAGTCTGTATTAAGGCAGTTAGAACTTTTTCAAAGGAGACCACAGTCAGGAATCCTATGTTTCAATTAAAATACATTGTCAATGTTAATTAATTCCTGACTGCACTTAGGGAAACAGGTGAAGAATTGTGCAAATCAATGAGGAAGACCACGGGAAAACTTAATAGCCAAATAATGAGCAAATTGGTATTTTAACTTCTATATATGTTGCTTCCAAATTCTTTATATGAGTGACAGCATCTATTTTTTCAGTTTTATGAAGAGCATTTTTTAAAAAAAATAAACACAGACCAGAAGATTTATGCTGCAACATATATTTTGTTGAAATCCTGCTCCCCCAAATTTGTGGTACTTAAGATAGTCGCACACTTAAATCGGCAATTCTCCTTGCTAATTTCTTCAGCCTCATCCCAATCTCTACTTTAAATTTATGCTGATTAGTCTAGTAAAATTTTCAGAATCTTATTTACTGAATGAGAAGAAAATGAAAACAAAAGTCTTTATATATATATATATATATATATATATATATATATATATATATGGTTAATTATATGATTTGATGGAACTAGGCATTTTTAATTGACAATGCTGATGGAACTAACAGATACTAATCAAAGGAAACAGGTAAACCAACTACTTACAGTTCATCCCATTTAATCAAATAGAAAAAGTTCTTGTATGTTCCAACTTTCTTGGACTGGACAGGTTTAAAAAGATCTTTTCCGTTATGGGTCAGAGAGCAAACTAAGTAGTATTTTTCATAACTGAAAAGGAAAGGATTGTGGTGAGTCAAAAATGTATCACTTGCACAGTTTGGGAGATGGTGGACAAACAAGGTTTTTTAAATTACTTACACAGAGACCCAGCCACTGAGAATCCCATGAGCAGCAAATACTGTGAACTGGAGGTGCTCTGTGGCAGTCCAAGCCTCTTTAGTGCTTCTCTCAGTCTCTGGAGTGTTCAAAGAAGAACTATTGCATGAGTTCAGGTGGAGCTCAAGGAGGGCGTAGACTGCTGTGGTTAACTGATCTAGGCTCACTTGTAGAGGGTTTTCAGTTTGCAGTGAACCTAGGTAAGAGTATTGCTTTTTTAGGAAGTTATTAATTAAAAAACATATTAAAGACAAAAGAAAAGATTAAGCTTTGTACATACCAGTGGAATTCTTGCTAACATCATCAGATGACACCTATGTAATAAGATATCAGACAAGATAAGAATATCCTCACATCTGAAAACCGCTTGTAAAAACTAGTATCATGAATGCTTGAAAAATAGTTCCATGGTGGAACCACAATAGGAGTACTCCGTGACCATTCTTTCTTGTCACAAAGACTATTTAACAATGTATACATAAAAAGAGACAAACTTTTCAGCTGTAGCCATGCGATTTCTATCTTCGACTATAAAAGTGAGCTTCAAAGGTTTTCATATCACTGCTCCCAAGGCCTTAATAGGTTGGAAATTCAGTGACATACAATTTAGTCTGCTCCAGATATAATTTCCATACTCTCCTTTTCCCCCTGACATGAAGTCCAGTCGTGTCCGACTCTGGGGTGTGGTGCTTATCTCCATTTCTAAGCTGAAGAGCTGGCGTTGTCTGTTGACACCTCCAAGGTCATGTGGCCAGCATGACTGCATGGGGCGCCCTTACCTTCCTGCCAGAGCGGTACCTATGGATCTACTCACATTTGCATGTTTTCGAAATGCTAGGTTGGCAGAAGCTGGGACTGACAACGGAAATTCACACCGCTCCCCGGATTCAAACCTGCGACCTTTCGGTCAACAAGCTCAGCAGCTCAGCGCTTTAACCCACTATGCCACCGAGGGATCCCATACGTCAACACCATGCCTTTTTTGACAACTAAAAATCTATCCAACCTATTTGCCTTATATCAACTTCTGGGGATTTCTGTGACCACTTGTTATAATACTTGTGTATTTCCTCCAGAACCAGGGGTGGCAAGCTCCCTATATATCAAAGATGGGGGGAGCAAGCAGGTTAATGCACTTTTTGTCCTACCTGTGGACTTTCCCTAGGCATCTGATTGGTCACTGTGTTGGGCTAAAGAGGAGCTTGGCCAGCTAAAGCAAGAATTTCTTTATCTTCTTAGCAGATCCATAGGTTAAGAGAGTGACCGAAGTGGGGTCAAATGTGCATTACAAATCACAATATACTCAGCCAAAACACATGATTGAGCTAATTACCTCAGGACTCTTACTTCGTGGAAGGTTAACTGCTCTTCTCAGCTTCTTTACAGCCATTGTAATGGCAGGAGTTTCTACTCCATCCAATGTACAGCAAATCTTTCTGACAGCTTTAATGACTGGATCTACTGCTTTGAGCTGCTTCTGAGAAAACCAAATGACATAAGTTATAACATTAAAAATTCTTTCAAAACATTAGGTCTATGTCAGGCATGAGCAAACTTAGGCCCTCCAGGTGTTTTCGACTTCAACTCCCATAATTCCTGGCCTCAGGTATTTTCCTTTTCCCCCTCAGACACTTAAGCAGCTGAGAAGGAAAAAGGAAGGGAGCTGAGGCTAAGAATTGTGGGAGTTGAAGTCCAAAACACCTGGAGGGCTGAGTTTACCCATGAATGGTCTACATGTAGAAGAGTGGAAGAGAGGCTTCAGATGTTATCCATATACAAACAAAAATATGAAATTTCAGAACATATTTAAGAACAAAACAATTATTACAGCTGCTGACTTTGTTTTAAAATGGGAATATTTACGCAATAATTTGCAGAGGGATACCTAGAAATTTATTTTCAGTCAATTGTTGGTTCTCAAATTAGTTATGAATCTAGGTCAGGGCTAAGGAATCTCTGATTATCCCAACATATTATTGAAGTCAAATTCCTATCACCCCCAAACCAGCTTGGTAAAGGACTAAAAGAATAGTAATACATCAACAGCTAGAAGTTCATCATTTCCACAAGTTCCTAGCACAAGTTCCCACAAGTTCCTGGCCATCTGTCAGGGGTGATTTGAATGCAATATTCCTGCTTCTTGGCAAGGGGTTGGACTGGATGGCCCATGAGGTCTCTTCCAACTCTTTGATTCTATGACAAGTAGAAAATGTTTCTGGCTTCGAGATTTGATTTTAGCAACAGCCAGAATCCTGAATCGGACCCCCTTTTATCCTGCAAACCCACCCAAATGAGACAGGGACAGACTAACCCACTGCTACATGGCATGGGGAGAGAGAAACAAGAAAGACATTTACTCTTATGACAACTGTAAGGCAAGGCAAAGTGTAGGATAACAACACACTGTTTAGCGGTTTGTTACATCGCTCAAGCAAGTAGAGTTGTTCTCATAAAGAATTATGAGAATACGTCAGAATTTTTAATGCATAGTTTCCATGTAAACACCATGGAACTTCTTTCGTGGTTGAAAAACTACAAATGAAAGCCAATGCTGGTTTTTACGAAGAGACAAATATATTATAGAACACAAAAAGTTTGTTTTGAGTAGTAGGAAACTTGTGCTAATGTGGTGACTTAGTGCCACATCTGGAGAAAACTGTAGTTGTCTGCTTTTCCTACTGCACTATACTACTGTCACCTCCTAAAATGTAAAAGTGCCAAGCAGCTGATATACAAAACCAACAAAAATGAGAAAATAGCCTAGCCACATAGCTAAGAGAATATTCTTTGGGGGGTGGGTGGGGGGACCATAAAGGGAGCCTAAATGCTAGCAGCAAAATTGGGAGGGGGAAAATGTTTGCATCATTGTAGACTGCTTCAAAAACCATTTTATCAAAACTTTTCAAAATTATCCTTCATATAATCATAAAGGGCCATCTAGTCCAACCCTCTGCCATGCAAGAATAAACACTAAAAGCACCCAAAGCATCTTTACCCATAATTAAAAGAACAACATATATAATCTTAATAAAATTAAGACGTGACAGTTACAAAAAAAACCCAAAGAAAATCAGCCAATTAAAATGGCTAAACAAAAACCACTGGCAAAAGCAATTCTACACTGGTGCTAGTCCTACATCTACGGAGAAGGTATTCCATTCAGTGACCAATCTGAAAGCTGCTGAAGAAGATCCTCTCATATTATCATAATTTAACAGCTGTTGAGGAAAAGGCAGGTTGCGGCCCTCCATATAAGATTGATATTTTTGCTAATATCTATGGTAAAAAGATACACCAAAACATCTATTAGTTCTAGCCAGCATAGTTTACAGTGAGCTGGTGTTACAATCGAACAACACCTGGAAAGGCTGCCTAAATTCTAAGCTATAAGCTCAGAATTTCATTACTTCTCTCTCTATAAAAGGTTGCCATAAACATATTATTGACACAAGACTATAAATGGAAACACATTAGATATAAAACTTACCTCCTTTTTAAGAAGAATAGCAACTTGATTATGATAAGCTTCTAAGAGCTCTTCAAGAGAATGGCTGGAACAAAAAAACAATTATATTACAAGTGGTTAGCATTTATAATAGCAATGTACAGACAATGCATTTTAATACAAAGTATATAATGCATAGTGGTTACCTCTGAATGCTTTCTCTGAAGAGTTTTTCTACATTACTCAGATGCTTGGTCAAATCTATTTGTGTCCCATCATCATCAGCCTAATAATGAGAAATATGGAAGTTATCTGAATATATTGCTAGTATTCCAGGGTTTTGTTCTTTTTTTTTTTTTTAAGAAAGGGCAACTCTTAAAAGTAATCTAAAGTACACAGCAAAGCTATTTTTGATTAACAAAATTACATTTCCTCCTGTTAAATACAAGACAAATTTAACTGTAAATATTCTTCTCAAGCAAAGCTCATATACATATAACAATATGTATGCAATACACATATAAAGCCTATATGTGAATACTAAGATTTGAAATACCCACCAACAAATCACTTATGGTTATGCATTTTGCAATTGTTGATTCCACTTGTGATGCTGACCACTTTCTCTCAATTTTAAGATACAAGGTAAATGTACATTCCTGCTGTTTGGAAAGTACTTCACCTCAACTTATGAGGTTAAAATTACTTGTATTCAGTTGGCTTAGAATGCAGCAGAGATGCAGAATAATATAGTACTCCTGCTGTTGCTGGATTGCATTTCATCATCCCACAAAAAGCTTGCCAGCTAAGGGTAAATCTTACATTATCTGCAGGGCCACACATCTCCCACTTCTGTCCTGCATGCACCACATTTCAGTATAGCATTTCCATTTCTTGCAACAAAAAAGGAACAGAACCTTCCTATTTTTATATCCTAAAAGAGATCTTAGCAGGAACACTAGATTCTCAGATTAAGAGACAACAATTATTCATCTAGGAAATAGTTATATATTTACCATATGGACTGCCTCAAAGAGCAAGGTGCAGGCTTAGTCTTAGCTGCCTCAAAAGAATGAACTACGTGTAATGGTTTTAAGTTACAAGAGAATAGGTTTTGATTGAACATTAGAAGGAACCACTTCACAATGAGAAATGTTCGACAATGGAGGTCGTTTTCTTCAAAAAGAAGCTGAACAACTGCCTGCTGAGGGTGCTTATGCTGGAGATCCTGCATTAAACAGGGGTTTAGACCTAATGACCCAAAGGGACACTTCCAATTCTATGGTTTTATATTTTCCTCAGTTCTAGGATACAGAATCGTGCATAACAGTAAACAGTAAACAGCATCAATGGTCATTTAAGGGTATCTTTTTCTTTTGTACTTACTGTTCGTGCCAGGTCTCTGCATATAACATTGTAGGTCAGGAGCTGCAGTTTAATCTCTGAGTCCCATTTGCGGCAGTTCTGTATGTATTCATGGCTTCCTACACTATGTTTACTGTTAAAGCAATGGGTACAAGGGTAACATTTCAAATTTGCAATACACTTTTCAAAAACATTTTTCCTCCAAATTAATAGTAACTATAATTTAGAAGACACTTTTCAATTTCTTTACCCATGGATCTATATGCTCCCTGTATCTCTTAATTAGCTCCAGTACCCAGTCCCTTCATAACTACAGGTTACAGCATTAGATATGTACAGGTATCAGCATTAATCATGGTTAGCATTTTTTTTTAAAGAATGAACCAAGTGCCTTCAGGTCAGTATCCAGCCTCCCCAGTAGCCTTTCTCACTGATGAGTCTCCCCACATGCAAAGGAAATCCCCATTATCACTCATCAGAAATAACAACATGGATTCCAGTCTCATAAGGCTTCCAAGATGTGATTAGACCTGAGTTCAGGTTTATTCAACTCCTGGAATCCTTGGCTCAGAGTTATTCCCTCCCCATTCCCTTTCTCCCCATGTGCAAAGAGGAGGAAGGGCAATTTAGCCAAGATCCAGGTGGAGAAGTTCAGATCAATGCATGGGATCAAAATAATGTCCTCTGATATCAGTCTTACATTCCAATCTCCTATTCCACACAATATGAACACATTTCTACTGCATGACAGTAAGAGGTGGCTAAATGGCATGATTCTTAACATGGCACAGAGATGACAGTTTTAAAAAATAGCAAAAGGACCACAAATCTTTAAAAATCAATAAATTTCAATGTCAGGAGCCACCATTCACAGAATTTTACACCCATTGGTGCCAACTTGTTTATAAAAGCAGGTAAGCTTGACAATCATACTACAATTTTCATAACACAAAATTTAAACATTTTTTAAAACGTTATTTTCCATAAAATCAATGATGTGAAGATTCAGAAAAGAATAACTCAAACCCAAATGAAAAGAACAGGAAGTTAACAAATAGGGGAAATCCAATGTAACATGTTCCCCTCCACTCCAAATTAAGAATAAAAACACTGCAGTCTGCTGCTTTGACACAGTTTAATACTTAAGTGTGGCATTTTTCGAGTAATCATGTTCTAACCACAGTTAAATATTGACATGAAAAAAATCTGCTTACTTCTGCAAAACTTCTTCTTGCCCACAAACTTTCAAGATATAACTGCCAATGTCTACATCATTCAAATCATCGTGCACCCAGCAAAGTGCCTGCATTATTATGAGCTCAACTGGAGAACTTGCTGTTTTGATGAAAAGAAACATATAAGATAAGATAAAGTCATAACGATAAAACATTTATTGCTTTTGATTTCCTTGTGAAACAGTTTGAAATATTTATTTATTCTGCCATTTTAGTATAAAGGATGCCTGGATGTGGATTTGCTGACCAATAAATATCTTATTTTTGCATTTGGGCTGAGAGGCAATTCATAAAAATCAAAATGTCACCAAGCTGTCAAATGGAATAATTCTGGTAAGAGTTGAAAAGTTTAAATATGTTCTTGCAATCAATAAAGACTACAATAACAACTGCCCCTTTAAATTTCTCTGGAATTTCACCATTAATCAAATAATTTTGTTAGACCGGATTTTTTTTATAACTACTGAAAAAACAAAGTATAAATTAAATGACTCTTCTCATGTGCATTAATATTTAGGATATGATTACTGAAAATACCATTTTACCATAGTCCTCTGAAATATATTGTAAATGTAATACTGCAATACAGCTATAAAAATGAGAAGATACATACCATCACATGTAAATGTCACTGGCTGTTGAAAACCCTCTATTTCGATTGAAATCTTGATGCTTGAGTTTTCTCCACTGATGTTTCGTTGCAACATGACTGGACTCAAAACGAAGCCTGGGTTTGTATCATGATTATTATGTGGAAACTTGGTCCTCAGCCTGAAAACAACATGCATAATACATCAGGGGCGGGCAGTCTGGAAACCTGGGGGGGGGGGGGGGGGGGGGGGGTTATATTAACATATGAGTATAATGCCCTCGATACTCCATAGAGATATTTTGGAACAAATATTTTTGGCTCCTAGGGGCTGTGTGTGGGTCATATTTTGCCCACCCAATACAAATGCTTGGATGAAGTTAACTTACACAATTGTATCAGTGAAAGGAAAAACAAAGATGCAAAATAAGCAATACAAAGTGAATAGGGTCATACATCTAAATGTACTTCTCACTGAAAAATAACATGACCTTGTTCAAGAAATATAAAGATTAGTCCTGATAGATCAGACCAAAACCATACTAGTGCAACATCTGTTTCCATACTGGCAAATCAAATGAATCATCCATCCATAACTTTATTTATAACCTGTCCTTTTTTCCAATGTGGCTTACAAAGCAGAGAAATTTATGAATAGGTGCATATAGCAACACATCGCCAGGATATAAACGCAAGAGCACTCTTTCTGCTTATACCCCCCCCTTTCAAATTTTATTCAGACATACATTGTTTCAGCCCCCTCGCTAATGGTGTTCCGAAGAAGATTAAAAACTTGGATGTTCGAACAGGCATTTGGTTAATCAGTGCAATGAATGTGACGATTACAGGAATGGAAATATGGACGACGAATTTGGATCATGACTCTAGTGATGAGAAGCATTGTGTTGTTATTGTTGTGTAATACTGTATATTGTGCTTTTGTGTTTTAAATTGTATATTGTGACTGATTTTACCCTTGTTGTAAACCGCGTTGAGTCACCGGTTAGGCTGAGAAACAGCGGTATACAAGTAAAGTAAATAAATAAATAAATAAATTTCAAATACTAGAAGCAATACTAGAGGTACAGGAGAAGTGGAGTTTTGTGGAACTTTTAAGATTAACAGATTTATTTTTCCATGATGTTTCATGGATTATGATCCATGATACACCTAAGATACACTGATGGGGTATAATATTTAATGTTCAGGTATGTACACACAGTTATGTAGTAGTGGTGTAAGGTAAGAGTAACATGGGATACAGAAAATGGCAAGTTTAACAGGTCATAAAACTTCAAAGGGCTGGCTTAGCATAAATATCGTAGCATCACTAAACTAATGCACAACTGCTAGATTGATAGCTGTCACAGAAGTTTTATAATTATCTATTCTGCTTTCAAGAAAGTGAACATTGCTGAAGGCATGTTTTTCTTTTAAAAAGTCTTCTTCTTTGCTAAACACATAACTGCAATAAAAATCAATTGCTTTCAGCACTGTGCTATCTATGCACGTGAATGCACACATACAGGAAGTATAGACAATACTTATTTCAAGATTCTTCTAGGATATAAAAAATAGTAGAATGGTTAAAAGCAGCAAATATTCATTAAGACCTGGTTAAGTTTCCAAAAACAGCACTTTCCTTCTTTATTACTAAAATAAAACATTGCCTTTTAAAAAGTCAGAATTGGCATTTGACCTGTATGTCCATGTTAACATATGGAACATGAAACAAAATATCCTAAGTATTTTCTTGTGCCTAAGAAGTGAGGTCAGTGCTGATATTTACATCCTTAAAAGGGTACACATGTGGTTTAGACATTCAATTTAAGTACAGACAGTCAGCTGGCATGAAACTGCTGCTTACTTTGCAATCGCTTCACAGAATGCTGCTTGTTCTTGATTTTGCCCTTCAACATTTTTCAGAAGTTTATTTCCTGTTGGCAGGCTAGTGGTCCCACAGTCTGTCTGAAATGCACAATAAAGAACAGGAGTGAAAGACAACTCAGAAGGAAAACACATTTAGAAGGCATGCAGGTTTGTAAGCAACAAGTCAATAATAGTTTTATGGGGGAAAAATATTATCTGACTGGATGTTAAGGTAATCTTATTTTTCAATAAGTACACTATTGCAATTTATTGCTGACAACTCAACAGCATTTTATATGCAATCATTCAATTGATCTTATTCTATTTCAGAAGAGCCTTTCCATGTGGCTTTTTATTTTTCAAGATGACAACTTCAATTTCAGAATCTTTCAATGAGTGAGATATCTTCATTTCCACAATTTGACACAGAATGTAAATTTATCAATATATAGCTAAAAAGGGTACATTATTCAGATTTCACAATAATCATTCACAACATTTCTGTTTACATTGCAGAACAGAGATCTGGCATACTCTTCAATTCAAACAAATCCTATGCAAGTTCAAATTCTGCCTTAAAAGTATGGGGAATTATGATAATAATAATAACAATTATTTCTTAACTACTATTCTCACTAAATTATTTAGAAATTCACAGACGCAATATGGCGAAGTCAGCAACAGGCATGCAGAAATTTTATGCTTTGATTCTATGTTCAAAAACTCATTAAGTGGAATGGAGTGTAGTCTAGAATCCTTACTAATAAAACCAGAGCCATAGTTCTCATTATTTAGTCTTAAAATAATAAACTTTTATGGCCTTTGTCACCAATTTCCAAAATATGAAGTTAAGTAACATTTGTATAGAACTAAGTTCTAAAATGAGACATAAGCTTTACCTCAGAAGTCTGTGGAACATTTTATTCATTTTACTAAAAGAACAAATATTTACACAGCTGCTATTAGTCAAGTCAAATAACTCTTGAAAGTAGAAGTTGTTAAAACTCCGTAGTTCCTGCCACCTGTGCCACTTTTGTGCCAGCTAGTTTAATTGCACATTGGATTCTGATTTAAAGCACATGTGTCACATGATCATGCCACAAAATTAGATGTTCCATTTAACACTGCCAAAGTAGGCTCTGAGCAGCAACACACAATCAGGCAAGCATCTTCTATGCAACAATAATAAGGAACGAAGTTGGACCAAGTCTGCCTCTTGCCATATTGTGGGGAATCAGCAATTTCAGTGTGTAGTAATAGAAGGATAATCTTGGACTGAATCCAGAATATCATCATATGCAACTTGCTTTCCAGGGAGCATCCCTTTGCTGTATCACATGCTGCTTTGGAGGACTCACAAGTTGCCTTCTGCCATTGCAGTTTTAGTCACAGAAAATGACATGGCTGACAAATAGTTGCCACTGGAGACATTATTCCGTAGCACCACATGGAGTTAAGAAATACTAGCCTCACTTGGACATGAAGCTAAACAAGGAGTTGCAGTTAGTTTAATGACTATTTATAGTTGTAGTGGTTAGCTAAAAATGGAAACAAATTCTCCTTGCAGTAGAAGAGCAACGAGGAGAGAAAAATGTATGAATACTCATTCATATAGCACTAACCCATAGTTAAGGCTATCAATGACCAAAAACTTGCATTAGATTTGAAATGAAACAAAATAAATAAATAAACGAATGAATGAATAAAATGTACACTGTGCTTTTTTGAAAAGTTTTCATTGTGTAGTTCTAGTAATGGCTTTTATGCCATTTGGGATAATTCTTAGGATTGGAATAATACAGGAAGCTCAAGAACTGGTGGCATTCCTTTGTATATGCATAAAACGCAAGAAAGCATTTTGTTTCAATGTAAATCTGATTATCCCCAGGCTGTGCATTGCTCTGGTTTAATACATACACATTTATTTTGGCGTTAACTTACAAACACAGAACTAAAAATTCCTAGTTAGAGACAAAGAGGAAATATAACCATGGAGTAAGATGAAGGAAAAAGAAATATGGGACATTTGGAATGTTATGCAGCCCTTTATTTTCCCCATCTTGCATTGGCTTTTGAGAGACACGGAAAGAGAGCAGCTGTACATTGTTCAATCAATGCTTAGGACAAAATTCCATCTCAATGTTTGCTTTTAAAAGTTCCATAAAAAAGGAATAAAAGAAGAATGATCCTCCCTAGTTTGCACATAAAACAAACCTACATTCATTGTTTACTTGAGAGAGAACTTGAGCATTATAAGTGAATTTGGCGTTAATTTAATCTGAATAGTAATAGCTCTGGCATCAGGAGATTTGCAGCATTTAACAGACAACTAATTCAATTAGCTGCCAGAAGGGGATTAGTTATCTGAATCAATATAAAATTGTATCCGGTAGCTAGACTTTATTTTAATTCATGGACTTCACACTTGATGAAGTCTTGCATCAAATCAAAACTTGACATCAGAAGTTTTTCTTTTGCAGCAAAATGTCCAATTATACTATCAGTAAAATGATCTGTTGTAGTTTTTTTTAATCACCCCAAATTTCAAAATAAATGTGAGCAGGGTGGCTTAAAGTAAAAATGTCAAAAGAAAAACTGGCAAACGGTCATGACATAGAACATCTGATAAAACATACACTGAGTTCCAGGGGTTTAAAACCTTTTTTTATTCCATGGACCCCTTTGCCAGTCAGGTGAAAACCATGGACTCCTTTCTCAGAATCTGACAGAGGATAAACACCCATATACTTCAGTTAGAGGTCAGAAAAAAATAAATATAATTACCCAAACTTCAGGGTACTTATGTGTTCATTATCAGACCTAAGAGGACTACTCTCAGACTGCACTCCCATCCCCATTTTTTTTTAATTAGAAGAACACATAATTAAACCTGTTTGAATCATACATCAAAACAAAGCAACTATTATTGTCCAGTTCACTGGCATACAATTTCTTAATAACTCATACGCCTACAGAATCACAGATCTCATGTAACCATGCTAAAGAAGAGTGAAGGGACAAGAACTATGCTCCCCACTTCTGAAAATATGATGTTAGTAAAAGCATGATGGCTTTTGAGAATTGAGCTAGGCACATTACATCAAATTTTCTTTCCCGGTTTTGTTCAGCAGGAATACTGTCCTGCTGAGGTATAAACTTTGTTCCCATGCCAGATGATCTTTTGTTCTTTTTTGAAACCTAAATATCTAGTTCCTCTTAATGCTCAAGACAAATCTCAAAGCTTCCTTTTTTGTAAAGTGTATTTAGAGACTTCAGCCAACATTTTATCCACGCTTGTGTTAATACTTTTTGTTTTTTCTCCATCAAGTTTTAGAAGCATTGCTTACTATATTACTATCTCCCCTGGGGACACAATAGACTGGGCGACTTGGAAAGCACTGAACAGACTGTACTCTGGCACCATGAGATGCAGCGCCAATCTTAAGAAATGGGGCCACAAAGTGGAGTCCATGGCATGTGAGTGTGGAGAAGAGCAAACTACAGACCACCTATTAGTAGTATTACAATGCAGTCTCAGCCCTGCCACATGAACAGTGGAGGATCTTCTTATGGCACCATCAGAAGCACTCCAAGTGGCCAGCTTCTGGTTAAAGGACATTTAGTATAATGCCAGGTTTTAAAACTTTGTGTTTTTAAATACATTACAACTGTACCCTCAGTTCGCTTCTGACACGATAAATAAATAAATAAATCTTTCATATCAACTAATTAAATCTAGTGATGCTGTGTGAAACAGACTATAGGAGTCTTTAATGGCATGAGATGGTTCATTTCCTCACAAGTAGTCTACATGAAGTCCACCTCAAATCAATCTTAAAATCCTAGCCAAGGTGCACAGCACAATTAAAAATACTCAAGAATTATTCCATTGGGGAACACAAGTGGGACATCATCCTGTTTGAAGAATTTTCCATTGGCATCTTCTTGGCCTCTGTGAGAACTATGTTAGACTAGACAGGCCTTTAAAAAATCAAACTATATCATCATCATAACTCTTCTTAATACCAAACTTTGCACCTAGAATCATAGAGTTGGAAGAGACCTCATGGACCATCCAGTCCAACCCCCTTCCAAGATGCAGGAAAACTGCATTCAAAGCACCCCTGACAGATGGCCATCCAGCCTCTGTTTAAAAGCTTCTAAAGAAGGAGCCTCCACCACACTCCGGGGCAGAGAGTTCCACTGCTGAACGGCTCTCACAGTCAGGAAGTTCTTCTCTGTGTAGTCTGACATGTCTGTAGTTTGAAGCCATAGCAACAGTAAGAACTGACACGGAACAACAGAATGGTTCAAGATTGGGAAAGGCGTACGGCAAGGCTGCATACTCTCACCCAACCTTTTTAACGTGTATGCAGAACACATCATGCGATGTGTGGGGCTTGATGAATGCAAAGCTGGGGTGAAAATTGCTGGAAGAAACATTAACAACCTCAGATATGCAGATGACACCACTCTGATGGCCGAAAGCGAGGAGGAGCTGAGGAGCCTTCTAATCAAGGTGAAAGAAGAAAGCGCAAAAGCGGGGTTGCAGCTAAACATAAAAAAAACAAGATTATGGCAACAAGAATTATTGACAACTGGAAAATAGAGGGAGAAACCGTGGAGGCCGTGACAGACTTTGTATTTCTAGGTGCAAAGATTACTGCAGATGCAGACTGTGGCCAGGAAATCAGAAGACGCTTACTTCTTGGGAGGAGAGCAATGTCCAGTCTCGATAAAATAGTGAAGAGTAGAGACATCAGACTTGCAACAAAGATCCGCCTAGTCAAAGCCATGGTATTCCCTGTAGTAACCTACGGATGTGAGAGCTGGACCTTAGGGAAGGCTGAGCGAAGGAAGATCGATGCTTTTGAGCTGTGGTGTTGGAGGAAAGTTCTGAGAGTGCCTTGGACTGCGAGAAGATCCAACCAGTCCATCCTCCAGGAAATAAAGCCCGACTGCTTCACTGGAGGGAAAGATACTAGAGACAAAGTTGAAGTACTTTGGCCACATCATGAGGAGACGGGAAAGCCTAGAGAAGACAATTATGCTGGGGAAAGTGGAAGGCAAAAGGAAGAGGGGCCAACCAAGGGCAAGATGGATGGATGGCATCCTTGAAGTGACTGGACTGACCTTGAGGGAGCTGGGGGGGGTAACGGCCGACAGGGAGCTCTGGCGTAGGCTGGTCCATGAGGTCACGAAGAGTCGGAGACGACTGAACGAATGAACAACAACAACAATCACCTTAGAAGTGAAATGGAGCCACCCACGGGCAACCATAAAGGGGCTTTCTAAACAGGCTGATATATGCACTTCTTCAGTATTAAAAACAAAACAAAAAATACAAGATCAGAGCATGATAAGATCAGAACATACCCACTGGCCTTGAGGAGAAACAGAATGTTGAACATATCACTGAAACCCAATAATAACATTTCTGGAGAAATTAGTCTAGTTTTCTCTTCCCTTTCTTTGCACTGTATCCTAAACTACTACCCATAAGGCTGGCCTCCTACTTTAGACTGGATGGGGAATCTAACACTCCTCTTTGAAGGCACAGAAAAATATAACAGATTTATAGACCTTGCATTTTCTTTCCCAGTTGCTAGCTAACACAATCTAGCTGATAACAGCAAAATTGCTGCTGTCAAAATACATTTGCAAAAAGTACAAGTGTACATGTTTCCCCTTTTTACAAAGTTTCGTTCTGTCTTAACCCTGACGCCATGACTATCTACTCAACTGTTAAACATCAGATTAGGATTTTAGTTAGATAAAAGAAGAGAGAGAGAAATGACCAATTGGCAAGGCAGAAATTGAGGAGGGAGGGGATTAGAGCAACGGAAACAACATTTTCAGAATTCTGAAGATTCTGTTTTGAACCGGTTTGCATGGGGGATAACCTAGATGTAGTGGTTTGCTTCTTAAGCCTCACTGAGACTGAAAACTTCCCCTGACAAATATCCACCAAGTACCTGACTTCTGTATAATTGGGAAGCTATATACTCATGTATAAGTCTAGACATTTTAGTAAAAATAATCAACCACCAAAATCGGGATTGACTTATTCACAGGTCAATGTGATTACTATATCTTAACACTTATTTAAAAAGGAACCACCTCCTTCTCTGTGCAATGGCAAAAGGCAAAAGCTTAGTCTGTCTGCAGAGAACCTCAAAGAAGCAGTTACTTCCTTTACTTTCATTGCCATGGTGCCACTTTTGGCCTTTTAGAATGCCGAGGTAGAAAAATGATAGGGGTATTGGTGATCTTTGCTCTAGGTGGAATGACCTATTACCTATCCACAGGTCATAACAAAATCCAGAATTCTAGCTTCAAAACTCGCCTTCGACTTTTGCATGAAATGAACTTACATATGAGTATGTGTTGTATTCAGGTTTTAACAATAATATTTCAAGTTCTTTTACTCTTTTTTTTTTAAAGCAGAGAAACACCAAAAACACTCAAAAGATGTTTTTGGTTTTACTCATTGATTAACAGGAGCCATAGCAATCTAGTTAAGTTGGATTGTAAGAAAATTAAAAAACTTAAAAACTTAAAAGTATCTGTGACATGGAAGATTCCAACTGTGGAATACAAGACTTGAGGCCTGAACCACCAGACTTTTAATTCATCCAGCTATCTTGGCCAGGTTATTCTGATGGCTATTAAGTTAGTATATAGATGTGAAATTTACTACCTTTCCACAATAGCATAACTTTGCATAGAAAAAATACATTCCAGTTAAAATGCTACCTGTAAAATATTACTTTTGTAGTAACAACATATCTGGGCTATTTTAATCTTAGGGTATTATGATTTGTTATTACAAATGATGCTCACCCTTTACTTAAAAAACATCAATTTTAAGCATCGTAAATCCAGGCGTTTCTAAAAGTTAAAAATAATATGGTTGGTAGCCAAGGTGGTGCTTGAGCTTTGCAACTGGTTTCCTAAAGATGTTTGACTGTGACCTAATTCTATAAAACTGATGAACAAGTTTAAAAGCATCAGTCTCAAACCAGACTCTTGGAGGACCTCACTGTTTATAGCCTCCCATAGTGGAAATGGTCCATTTATTCTTACTTTTTACTTTTTGTAATTTAACCAGTTCCCAATCCACAAGAGGACCTCACCTTTCATCCTGAAATTATTAAGTTTTTAATGAGTTACTTTACATTTTTCCAAGTAACAAAACAGACAATAGTACTTAAACCGAACATTATAAACAGCCTATATTGAAGTTGATACAAGTTGAACATGCCAAAGTCCTGACTCAAACCTCTCTAGAAGAAAATCTGTAAATTTGTAGAATAATAATAATAACACTTTATTTGTACCCCGCTACCATCTCCCCAAGGGACTCGGTGCAGCTTACATGAGGCTGAGCCCAAACACAACAATACAGGCAATAATCACAAGAATACAAGCAATTAAAATAAAACATAAACAATAAACATATAACATTATCAATAAAACAACATACAGTTAAAACTGTGGGAAGGCCACATGTAAAAAATTAAAATTGGAATAGTGCTGAGGCATGGACGAAAAGGTGATAGTGGTGTTTGTGGAAGACATACGAGCAGACCTAAAAGTATAAAGTGCTTTGGAAGGACAAAGTGCTATGGGATCATTATTCCGGGAAGGCACACTGGAACAAGCACGTCTTCAAGCTCCTCCTGAAGATTAATTGATTAACAGATTAACAGGTAGGGAGATTAAGTAGTACAAATCTTTACTACCTGTTGTAAAATTTCAGCTGTAGAATAAAATAGGTTTTCAGATATATTTTACCTGTGATGTTTGGCCCTGCAACTTAGCAAGCTGCGCAGTTCGAATGTTTAAAGACTGACTTCTTGTAACCGTTGCACCAGAAGTAGATTTCCCACTAAGTTTTCTTTCATGATGGCATTTTCCTGGGGATTTCTCCTCTAACAGCACAGCATCCCAAGGATCTTCGACAACTGTATTACAGGTCTCCTTTCCACCATCTTCTGCATTATATAGTATCTCCATACTGTCCCCTTTTGGTTTACTTAAAGGATCCAAATCCAACCAATCAAATTTACTGATATCATTGGAGCTTTCAGGGGCTGGCAAATTAACTGTAGATTTAGCACCAGTCACTTCTAAGTCAGTGCTCGATCTCCCATTTTTTTGAAATTCTGAAGTGCTTGCTATCTTATCAAACACCTTGGCCATTTCAGGGGTAAGTGTTGGATGAAATACAGGTAGACTTCGTTGTGGATGGAACGTTGTAGTGCTTGGCAGTGCGTATGAAATGTACTGGGACCCCTCTGGAAGACTAAGATAAATAGGCTTTGTAGACTGATAAGTTGACATTCCTGGATGGAAGCCATTCTGAAAGATACCAACTTGTTTACTGAAAGAAGGTGCTGCATAATTAGAAGGTACAGTGCAAGCAGCAGGCCCAAGCAACCCAGGTGTCCACAGTCCTCTTTGAATGGTAGGGTTAGCATAAAACTGTGACGAGAACGACGGGCTCAGACCAGGAGTTGCTGGCAGTGTTGGTGGTTTGCTGGATTCAAGATTTTCCTCTAGTAGCAGTTTCTCCAGTTCAGCATGGGTAAGTTTCTCTATGTCCACTGTATTTAACTTATCATTCATCTTTTTCTTGGCATCCGACTCTGGAAACACCATAAGATCATGGTCCTGTTTTCGGCAGGAGTGGACATTTGGCCAGGATTTGCTTAAAGTGTCAATACTTTGTCTATTACTGGACACCACTCTTTCCTTTTGCATCTTAGCCAGAGCCTCAGCCTCCATCTGTAGTGCCTCTTCTTTGTCCACTTCTTTTGCCTTTGCTGTACCCAAAGATGGTGATGAACATGGTCTGAGTTCATTGTTGCCAGATATCTGGGCCATGCCGTGAAAGCAGATGTCCATCAATGGTTCCAATACCTACTTCTGAAAATCTTTGCTTCAAGAATGTTCAGATACATTCAGGATCACTGGAGGAAAAGAGGGAAAAAAGAACATTAGAATAAAAAGAAGCCAAGAGATATCACTACTTCTGTATTGACATGCTGTACTAGTATATAAGCTGATCTCATATATAAGTTGAGGGCCCAGGGGTGGGGGTGGCAAGTGCCAGTTCCATCTCAGGGGATCAGGCTTCCCTGGCAACTGGTGTTTTCTCAACCAGGCATTCAAAAATCCTAGAAGCAGTGTCATGGTGGAGAGAACAGGTCATCATTGCTTCTTTTCAGCTCTTCCAGTATGAAAGGAGAATTCCTTTTTTATAATAGTTAGTATACTTACATTGGCCCATGGATAAGTCAATCTAGGTTTTTGGGGTTGATTTTTTTGGGACTACAATTTGTAGACTTATACATGAGGATATACAGTACTTGTTTAAAGTTCTTAACTTTCACACGTGCTTGAAGAATTTGGTCCAATCTTATAAATGTAAATAACTATGCTGACATTAGTTTTATTTCTTATTTCAGCTGCATGCATACTTCAGAAATGCTAAAATTACATATGTTTTTATTATGTCATTCTTATTATATTGGTGATAATACAGCGTCAAAAAATAGCAGATTCAGCCTAAAGAGTAGACTCTTTGCTTACAGATACAGAACCCCAATCCCACCATAATGTTCAACAAGTAATTTAAGAACTGTGGAAAATTCTTCAGTCCCTACTATTAGGCCAATATTACAGGCTAGTAAATCAGTTTGGGTAGGGTGTTTGTATTCTCACACATCCATATCCATCCACATATGATAACCTTACATTACAGTAAGGCCATTAATAATATCAATGTTAAGTCTAGTCAGACAGAACTGAGGATAAGTGTAATGTGCTAGAATCAGTAAAAGATCACAGACCATGGAAGAAAAAAAGGGAAAACTGCATGCCAAGAATGTCTTTCATATGGCTTCTTCACAATACAATAAGTCCTCCAAATCCAGAGATTCTGCATCTACAGATTCAACCACCCAGAGCTTCAAAATAGTTTTTAAAAATTCAAAAAGGAAATCTTGAATGTATCATTATGTACAGTAATGTCCTATTGAATTTATGCTTAGTTGTATGTTGTTTGATTTATGATTTGGTTTATGTATGTAAGGTATTGAATTTTGCCATTATTTTTTGCAAATCACTTTGAGTCCCCCCAGGGGTAAGAAAAGCGGTATATAAATACTGTAAACATATAAATAATATATAAGGGGCACCATTTTACTATCCCGTTATATAATGCCATTATATAATATATTATTCACAGATTTCAGTATCCACAGAGCATCCTGGAACCAAACCCCAGAATGTATCACGGTCCCACTATAGAAATAAATATTCATATTATGCATAAGAACATTAACATGCTTTTTCTAATATTTTAGTTTTTAAAATTTTTAATACTGCAATCAATTAATGTGAAATGATTCTATATTCTTTTGGAGAAGCTTTGTTCTATTAATATTTAATTCCAACCATTTCATATTCAAAGAATGCAAACACTTGAACTACTCAGAGACTTACAAAGGAGAGTAAGTTATTTATGACCAAGTTTGCACAGCAAGTAGAATGACTCAAATTCCTCATTCCAGTTCTTGAGTTCAAACAACTAGACAGAAGATTTTATAGCCTGGCAGAAAACAGAAAGAACTATTATACTAATCCAGTCAAGCTGCTCACAATTTGTTTAAATTTGATTAAAACAATGCCTCAAAATTCTAAGGAAGAATGAAGATTTTTCCTGGTCAAGAGTTACATTTACCTGGAAAATGTACTCTTTGTGGCTTTCAGCTGCAATTCAACTTCAGGACTATATATGATTACTCAAGAAGATATACGTTTTCAAGAAGCATTTGCAGCACCTGATTTTAACTATATCCACTTCGCACTGCTTTTGTTTGATCAAGATTAAAAAAAATAAAAGTATGCACACTCCAAAGTATACCTCCTGAAAACCAGTTGGCTAACAATTCCATTCCACAGCAACTGCCAAGTGGCATTTAATAGAGCTATATAAAATTATGTCCACCTTGACTCAGATTCTTGGGGCATGCTGCTTGACTGCTCCCAATGGACACTGCAGCAACTAAACAAAGCTATGCTTCACAGTTGATTTATTGTGTCAACTGACAGGAGGGAATTTCCCTTCCTTGCAGCATTCCTTCCCAGCAAACCATAGAAAGGTCCCAGTGTTTGTAACTGGCTTCTTCGCTCTTTGAAATTCCTTGTTTCCTGCATGAGAGGAAGATAAGAAGCCTCTTTGCTCTTGGCAATTTGTGCAAGATGTCTTACTTGCAAAACCACCCTCTTTTCCCTTTGCAAAACAAAACACAGAATGCCAGGCTTATTGACAAAATGATACAAACAGATCACCCAATCCTTATACTTTTTGAAAACCAATGGAACTTAGCAGAAGCATTCATGCCAATCCGTATGATCGATACTTTGCAAATTTGTGCAAACTATTCTTGCAAATGTAATTAATCTTTACTGAGAATACACAAAATTTCTCAACTTATTCAATTAAGAAGAAATTTTTTTGAGGTTTATGAGTCAGAATGATGAAAGGAAATATTTACATTTTAACATATATATAAGGATGTTTAGAAATCCTTAATGAACATATTTGAGGACTTAATTATTTCACCTTGCACTTTATGAGACTGATACTGTTTGCAGTTTGTTTTATATCTGTAGCTATTGTAGCATTTTATTGATTTTTAATCCATGGGGTTTTATGATGTTATGTTGTTTATTATTGATTTTGTGTTATTGTTCATGCATTTGTTGTATTTTATGTGTTTGCACCTAGAGTGCTTTTGTGAGTCGCCCTGAGTCCCTTTGGGAGATGGTGGCGGGGTATAAATAAAGATTATTATTATTATTATTATTATTATTATTATTATTATTATTATGGGAAAATTAGAGAGTTTATTCTACAGAGTGGTTATTCATAGGGAAAATTAACAAACTCATATTTTATTATAGTATTTACATTATACAATATAATACTACTACTAATTATATGATATTATAATTATATATTTTATATTAAATGTAATATTACTAATAATATTACAGTATAATGTTATAGTACAATGTAATATATAATATTAATATTGTGCTATGGTAATAATATGATATATTGTATTTACTTTTTAATTTTAAGCCGCTCTGAGTCCCCTTCGGGGTGAGAAGGGCGGCAAATAAATGTCATAAATAAATAAATAAGTATATTACATTATGATTGAGAGAAAAAAGCCATGGTGTACAAGGAAACGATTAGAAACGTGGATCATTTAAATCAGTGGTTCTCAACCTCTGTGAGTATGGAAAGAGGTGGCCAACATTAGAGATACATTTGTAAATAAAACATTGTAAATAAATGTACATTTTGCTACAATTTCCCATGTTCCTTATGTATGACATACCACTAAACCACCTACAAACCAGTAAACATCACATACAAAGCACAAAATGATGCCAATATTAATCCTGAGCATATCCTCTATCCTTTATTCCTTTGTTCTCTTTTTACTATCTGCTTCAAGTCACTGTCAAAATATACTGTGGCAGTAGCTGACATAATTCTCCCCAGAAACTCTTGCTGTTAACGCCAGCTTCTGCCAACCTAGCAGTTCAAAAACATGCAAATTTGAGTATATCAATAGGTACTAATTCTGTGAGTCGCCTTCGGGCTGAGAACGGCGGTATATAAGTAAAGTAAATAAATAAGTAAATAAATAAATACTAATTCAGCGGGAAGGTTAAGGGCACTCCATGCAGTCATGCTGACCAGTTGAAGTTGGAAGTGTCTACAGACAACACTGGCTCTTTGGCTTAGAAATGGGGATGAGCACCACCTCCCCGGAGTAGGACATGGCTAGACTTAATGTCAAGGGGAAACCTTTACCTTTTTTTTATTACCTCTTATACCAGGACAATATTTAGAGCTTGACAAGCACCCACCTATGTCTCTATCCTTTATTAATTTATCTAACTGCCTTTTACATCAATCCAAGCTGGCAAACTACACAGGATCAAACACACTCACATCTGAAAACAGACACCACTTCATACAATCCAAAACAGAGAAAGGGTAAGCATGGAATAATTAATAAACTGTATAAAGGCTGATTTTTGGAATAATGCATCTATGCCTCTTCTACCAGACTGGCTAGAAGAACGTAGCTCTATGCTAGATTCAAGAAGCCTGACTGGGACAAGACCCCTGCAAAAGATGCAATGGCCCCAGAAAAACGTAATATCTGCAAGGTCCCTACTCTTTGAAAAATATGTTAACCAGACTTTTACATTTTCAAACACATCTCTGGGATAACATCCCTTCTACCAACATAGGTATTCTGGGCTTTAAAACACAACTCTTCCTGTACCAGATTGTACCTTCCACACCGAGGAAAACAAAAGGACCAGTTAAGAAAGTTAAGAAACATCCAGAGTTGAAACTGTCTACCAACTGGGGTTTTTTTTTTAAAGAAATGTGCACTGAGGTATCAGAATGAGGATGTACAAACAACCTGTTACTGGACACAAACACTATTTTAATGCCTCCTCATGTAGAAGCTCTCTGCAAAAAAGTAACTTAGCACAGCAATGACTAGTATACTGCAATTAGATATGGTACATACAAGTAAGGGCACAATTCTATTTTCTGAACACTAGTTCAAACTCTAAAATCCATTTTTAAGAGGAAAGATACCATGAAACGTTTTCCTTAAGGATAAAGACACAGGAATGAGAGTTGATGTGTACTTTCTGGATACAGTTCTGTGCTTCTAATTCGAATCTCAGTTTGGCTCAGCTTGTTACAGTGTGGAGTTACCCTTCAGCATTCCAGCCACTAAATCCTGCCAACTCTCTTTCCTTTTCTCCAGCAATCAGTCAGCACCTCATGCCCACTGGGCATATTCAGTCCTCACTAGGTTATTCCTCCCTCCATTTGTGGGGAATATACTGGAGCTTAGTC